CAATGGATGCTCTTTTTAACTGCATTTTAGACCTGAAATCCTGGATGGCAGAAAACTTTCTCCAGCTCAACCAGGACAAAACTGAGGTTTTAGTCATCGGTCCTGAGGCCCAGAGAGAGAAACTTTTACCGAAACTCCAATCACACTCTTTTAATCCATCATCACAAGTGAAAAACCTGGGCGTAATCTTTGACTCTGAGCTGACTTTTATTCCTCACATCAAGAACATCACAAAAATAGGTTTTTATCATTTAAAGAACATCGCCAGAGTCCGCCCCATTCTCTCTCGGGCCAACACGGAGACGCTGATGCATGCTTTTATCACCAGTCGCATTGACTACTGTAATGCCCTGCTCTCTGGTCTTCCCAAAAAGAACATTTCAGGTTTACAATTACTTCAAAACTCGGCCGCACGTGTCCTGACTAAGACCAGGGGGCGGGACCACATTACACCGGTTTTAAAATCGCTGCATTGGCTCCCCGTGTGTTTCAGGATCGATTTTAAGGTTCTTTTAATGGTCTTTAAATGTCTTAATGGTCTTGGGCCTTCTTATCTTTCAGATTTGCTTTTATCCTATGAACCCTTCCCGGCCCCTGCGCTCCTCCGGCAGCAGACTCCTAACCATCCCCAAAGTCAGGACACACACTCACGGTGAGGCATCTTTCCAGCACTACGGCCCCCGTCTCTGGAACAGTCTGCCGGAGGAGCTCAGGGCCGCAGAGAACGTTCATATTTTTAAGAGTAGGCTCAAGACGCACCTTTTTAGAGCAGCTTTTGATTAGTATTTATTATCTATTATTGCTTTTTAGTACATCTATTTATGTTTTTAGACGGATTATATTTTTATTTATTTTTATTATTTACTATTTTTAATTATTTATTGTATCTACCCATTTATTGTTATTATCAATATTAGGCAGCTGCCATTTTTCTTTTTATTGTCACATTTTATTGTTCTACTTTCTATTGTATTATTGTATTGTTTTAGTGTCCCCAGTGTTTCCTCTGGAGGAGCCCTCTGCACTGAGAGCTGGGGTCTGCTGTGGCTTCGGGGGTCTGGCTCTTGGATCCGGTGGGGGTCTGGGGCCTCCTCTCTCCTCTGGGTCCTATGGGGTCTGAGTCCTGGGCCTGGTGGGGTCTGGGGCCCCTCTCTTCTCTGGGTCCTGTGTCGTTCCCTGTGGCTGCAGCCGGCTCTCTGCTCCTGATGCAGATGGCTCCTTGGATGACGCTTCTTCAGCCGGTTACATCTGCTCCCAGCCCCATTTCTTTTTATTGTTTTACCTATTTTACCTGATATGACTTTGTACTTGTGTGTGTGTGTGTGTGTGTGTGTGTGTGTGTGTGTGTGTGTGTGTGTGTGTGTGTGTTGTGTGTGTGTGTGTGTGTCACTTGTTTTCAACTCCTGGTGGGTTCCATAACCTGAGATTCCACTCACGTCATGGGGACTGGTTTTACGTGGTGGGGCCCGAACACCGGACCCCACTGGTCCAAGCTTAATAATCAATGGGTAATGCTTTTCTAACGGTCCTTATGCAGTCTCTGTAAAAATATGGAAAGGACCCCTGGAGGTTTACTTTCCTGAAAAAAGTGTGTTATGTGTCGGAACCCTGGTGGTGGGTTGCGGGATATCAAGGAGGGGCACACTGGGGCAATTTCAGTCCAGCAGGCTGGAGCCAATCATGGAGCAGCACAACAGAGGAAATCAGGTGTCAGGCTAGAAAAAGGTGCAAGTGTGTGGTTCATTAGGCTGCAAGAAATCATGGAGGAGCACACTGAAGCGCACGCTTACAAACCACTGGTAAGTGCTGACTACAAGTCATGACTTCAAATTGTTATATAGAATGATTACAAATTATTTGTTGTTTGTGCAGCTTAGTCAAGAGTCCCTAATTGATGAAGTCGACTCAGATTCTGACGATTTAACTGTCAAGAAGAAACCTGTAAAAAAGTATGGAAAAAGAAAAATCAAAAACACTTTTCTTCAAGACTCGGAAAGTGACGAACCAAAGGCAAATAAGATTGTTATCATGCAGCTGCAAAAGAAGAAAAATGGGGGGCGAGTATACAGCAAGAGACACTTCTGCCTCTACTGTTCAATGTCCTGCCACAAAATGTCCCGTCATTTGACTAGAAAACATGGAAATGAAAGTGACGTAGCCAGAGCATTGGCTCTACCTGTGAAATCTAAAGCACGTAAACTTCAGTTTGATTTGATCAGGAATAGTGGAAACCGTGAGCACAATTTTGAGGTTTTAAAGGCCGGCATTGGAACTTTAGTCCCAGCTAAACAGCCAAATTCCCCAGTTAAATCCAGTGAGTTTTTGCACTGTATAGACTGTGGGGCATTGCTTAAGCGAAAGTCGCTGTGGAGGCATGTGGCCAGGTGCCGGCTTTCACAGAAAGATGCCCAGGCTAAACCAGGTAGAAGTAGGGTCCAGTCCCTCTGCTCCCTAGCCCAGCCTGTACCGGAGGGCATCAGCAAAAAGCTGTGGTCTTTAATTTCGGCAATGCATCAGGATGAGGTCACGGGTGTTGTCAAAGCAGAAAAGGGGATTCTGAGACTCGGAGAGCACCTGTACTTAAAACACGGGCATGATAAGACAAAGCATGATTACATTAGGCAGAAAATGAGAGAAGTCGGTAGGTTAATTAACGAAGCAAAAACCGCAGGGAAACTGAAAACAATTAAGGATTTCTTTATTCCTTCCAACTTTAACCATGTGATTGATGCAGTCAGGTCTGTGGCTGGATATGATGAGGAAACAAATCAATACAAGACTCCATCCTTGGCCCTCAAACTCGGCCATAGCCTCAGAAAGCTAGCAGATATTCTTGAATGTGACTCAAAAATGGAGCATTGTGTTGATGAACTATTTATTAAAAACCTCCAACGAAGCCGGCTGCTTTTTGAGAAGAGGTGGGACGTCTGTGTTTCTTCTGCTGCCCTACAGACCCTCCGGCAAGCCAAGTGGAACACTCCGGACCTGCTCCCTCTGACTGAGGACGTTAGAGCCATGCATGCACATATTGAGGTATGTCGACCTGAATATGTGCAAACCCTAATAAGTGAGCCAACGTCTAAGCATTGGTCTAAACTGGCAGTTTTGACTCTTTGTGAGGTCATCATTTTCAATCGAAGAAGGGAAGGTGAGGTTTCAAAGATGCCACTGACAGCCTTTACCTTAAGAAGTAAGACTGGGATCCATTCTGACATTGCTCTGGGACTGTCCCAACTTGAGAAAAAGCTGTGTCAGCATTTTCAACGCATTGAAATTAAAGGGAAAAGAAGTCGGAAAGTGCCGGTTCTTTTGACTCCTGAAATGATTGCTTCGATGGAGGTGCTGGTGGAGAACAGAAGGGCCTGTTCCATCTCTGACCATAACCCATACTTCTTTTCCCGCCCGGGCGCAGACACCCACATCAGGGGATCAGACTCCCTACGCCAGGTAGCCAAAGAATGTGGTGCGGTGCATCCAGAGATGCTATCCTCAACCAAACTTAGAAAGCACATAGCTACTATGTCTACAGTTCTCAATATGAAAGAGAATGAGATGGACATACTTGCCAACTTCCTCGGCCATGACATTCGCATCCACAGGCAATATTACAGACTACCAGAGGGGACACTGGAGCTGGCCAAAATCAGCAAAGTGTTGATGGCCATGGAGCAGGGAAGAGTGACGGAATTCGAAGGAAAGAGCCTCGACCAGATACAAATTGAGCCTGAAGGTAATTCTTGATATTATTAAAATATGTATGATTTTTTTCCCCTAAAGGCCACTTGTATTTTTATTTTCTGTGCGACAGGGAGAGCAGTAGAGATCCTCTCACAAACGGACGGGCTAAAAGAAACTTCAAGCGGAGAACCTTCAACCATTCATCCAGATGCACCCCATGGTAGTGGCAGTGCCCCTTCTGGTAAGTGTACCAGGTGGGGGATTACAGCCAGGCTGCTTGGTCCTCACCCTGGGAGTGTATATTGCTAATATATTTTTATTTCTCTCCCTAGAACGTGTAAGAAAGCCATGGTCTGCATCTGAGGTGAAGGCTGTGGAGAAGACCATGACACCTTTCATACAGACTGGAAAGGTCCCTGGGAAGTCTCACTGCCTGGCCTGCATTAATGCCTCACCAGATGACCTTAGACATCGGACATGGAGTGGCATTAAATTCTATGTCAAAAATAGAATCACTGCAATTCGAAAACAAAATCTAAAATAAAATTCCTTTAAAATAGTTGTTTGGTTTCTATTGACTGTTTTGTATTACTTAAAGTCTTGGTAAAAAAAGATTATGTCTATGGGTCCCATTCTGAACGGCCCTGTCAAAGGGACCCACCAGGTAACAAAAACGTGTATGTGTGTGTGGGTGTGTGTATTGTATATATAATTATAAATGTGATTTTGGGGGGTCTGTGGGGAGGAGGGTTTAGGGCTGGGCATGTTGGATTGTTTTTAACTAAACTGTAAAGCACTTTGTTTTACACTTTTTGTATGAAAAGCGCTTTATAAATAAAATTTGATTGATTGATTGACTTGTCCCACCGCTGCATTTTAGGGAAAGACATATCTCACACTTGCTCTGATGCAAACAACGCGTTGCATGCTCGAGCCTGCGAGCTACAGTAGCAGAATGTAAACAGAATAAGAAGCGGAAACTCAACTCGGACAACGTGGTTGTCGCTGAAGTTATTATTAGCGCCACCAGCTGGACCGGGTGTTGTATTACAGAAAAGTTTCTCTGGCACGGTTCAGAGAACACGTTCATGTGACCACGGGCCGTTTTCACACCCCTCTGGCGACGATCTGGGCCACTTGGCCAAGTGACCATTCCCTAATACGCATCAATATCTTATCGAGTGATGGCTTTAGCACAGAGCGAGTAGTAGGATAAAGGTGTAGGGTCAGAGAGCGTTTGTGTTTTAGGTTATGCTGAATGCATCATAGCCAAATACTGTTGGGACAATAATACGAGTGACCTGTTTGAACTGTTGTTTCAGGAAGGAGTTTGTGGATGCGTATTTGCGCTACGTGTTCTGCAACGCGGTCAGCGAGCAGTACGAGGCCTTCTCGAGCGGCTTCCTCAAAGTGTGTGGAGGAGACATCCTGTGGCTCTTCCAACCCTCTGAGCTCATGGCCATGGTAGTGGGCAACAGCGACTACAACTGGGACGAGATGGAGAAGGTCTGTGTCCAGGCTGGTACTGGGGGATGTGGATCAGGGAGCAACCATATTAAAATCTATATACTGTTTAATTTTTTGATTACTTTTACTTGTCCAACTGGTCAAAACAATGATACATACGACTCAATTATTTCTTATTGTAATTCATGTATGTGTGCCTAAACGGTGGTGTCTGATTTGTAAGTGTAAGGGACAGTATGTAATATTTCCATTTTAAATAACATATATTTATGTTTACAATATTCAAACAGAGAGCAGAATGAGTCTCCCATTTGGGTTGCCAGTTTTTTAGGTGAAGAATGAGAATGGAAAACAGATGTTTAGTCTTAAAGGTCAATCCCTAAAAAATAAATACATAAATAAATATCAGGTTTTTAGCTCTTATAGTCTTTTAACCCATTGCTCTGTTCGCTCGTCTCCAATAAAGTCACATACTTTTGGAGGTATGTCCATGGTACCAGTTTCAGAGTCACACCTGGTAAAAAAGACCTGTAAAACCTATGGCTGACTTTAGAACCACCCTCTAAAACCTGACGTTTTCGTGAAATTCAACGCCATTCAATTATATCTCGGCCTCTGTAGCAGATAGAAACATAATTTCAAAAGAATTTGAGAGCTGACACTTGTGGCTTTCAATAAGAATGTAGAGTATTATTATAAACCTTCAGTAGAATAATAAAAAAAAAAAATCCCCACAGGAAAGATAATAAAACAACCAAAAATAATGTGAGACTAACACATGTTTCTCAATACAATAAGTCAAAAAGAGTTTGGCAATAAAGTGGCACTAACTATGTGGAAGAAGTAAGCAAAATATAAAACAACACTGTTTTGGTTTGTTTTGTTTTGTTTGTTCACAACATTTTTCTTTTGTGCACAAATAACATGCATTGTCAATGCAAGTGAAAATGTAGGTACCTTAGCTTTAATTCAGGGAGTTTTGGCTGCGCTTCGAGAGGACACACAGGGAGAGAAGGGGATGAGACGGGCAAAACCTGTACATGCAACAAGCTGGGGATGGTTCTGATCACACGTTTATGGTCCGCGCTTGGTGCCATGTTACGGATGCACGTTCTCTGAGCTGTTGTCAAAGTGGCTGTCAGTACAAAGCGGCTCCCGAGATCAGAACAAAGGATGTGAATCCCGTTTGAGAAGGTACAGCAAACAACAGGTCACACATTTCACAGAAATTATATTTTCAGCAGAATTCACGGATCTGCAAAAAAGGTTGTTGATTGAAGAGAATTGATCAATGAAGAGAATTGGTCAAAAAAATATAAACATGCGCAACAGCGCTCCGGGCTTGAAAGGTAGAAATGCTGGAATACGTTCCCGGCCTCAATGGGTTAAATAACACATTTCACACAAAAATTGCACCACACATATTGAAATGAAAGTGGCATCAAAATTAATTGTCAGAGACATAGCTTGTACAGTTTCTTGCTAATCAGTGCTTAGGACCTGGATGTGTTACAAGCAGGAAGTTTCTGGCAAAAAACAGTGTGATTGTAATGACCACTATGATGCATATTACATACTGTGCCTCTAACAGGACACTTCAATCTGTTACCTGGGAGAGCTCCCCAAATCTGCTCTCCTGTCACATCTGTACAGCTCTAAATGTCTGTTAGGAATCAGAATCATAATCATTTTTTTTGCCACGCAAGTAACAGGAAGTCACAGACTTGGAAATCGCTTTGGCTCAGTGCAACAGTCAGAAAGAGATGATAAAAAATAAAGAATAAAAAACACTTCTAAGGAATACATTTAAATTTAAAATAGAGTTACAGTTACTATTTACAATATACAAGTGCACATGGTGCACACAATGTAAGGTGACAGCAGTACAGTGAAGTAAAGTGACGTATGATGGGCAGTAAAGTGACTTTATAAAGGGCGGGGGGACAGGTTAAGAAGTGTTCAAGAGTCCAACAGCAGAGGGGAAGAAACTGTTCTTGTGGCGGGAGGTTCTAGTCCTGATGGACCGCAGCCTCCTGCCTGAGGGGAGTGGTTGGAATAGTCCATGTGCAGGGTGAGAGGGGTCGGCTGTGATACGACCAGCCCGGCCTCGAGCTCGGGCGACGTACAGGTCCTGCAGCGATGGAAGGCTGCGGCCGATCACTTCCTCTGCAGAGCGCACAATGCGCTGTAGTCTCTGTTTGTCCCTGACTGTGGCTCCAGCGAACCACACAGTGATGGAGGAGGTGAGGATGGACTCGATGATGGCCGTGTAGAACTGCAGCAACATCTGTTACCAGCCTCCCTGACGACTAAATGTGACCGTAGGCAGGTTGGGATCACAGTAGTGGTCATAGGAAGGAAGTGGACCTCTGCTTATCAGTTCACTCTGCTTCGGATGTAATGCATAACTCTGTCTGCTATTCTTGACTGACCTACATAGCAGCGCTCAAATATTAAAGACAATTGGTCATCTATAACAAGTATTAAAGCTGGGGTATCTCACTTTGCAAGCACAAACACATACACTATGTTGTAGTAGAACTTATTTGACCATAATGACACTGTTCTGCGTTATATTTACTTCAATTAACAGCAAAAAAGTATTTAGTCAGCCAACAATTGTGCAAGTTCTCCCATTTAAAAAGATGAGGGAGGCCTGTAAATCTCATCATAGGTATACCTCAACTATGAGATACAGAATGAGAAAAAAATAATCAAGAAAATGCCCTTGAAAGCTCTCGCTGATGGGAAGAGGTTTTCATTTGGCATTCTTTCTCCTCCAAACACGACAGGTAGAGTTTTACCACAATTTCTTTTTTGGTTTCATCTGACCATGTGACATTCTCCCAATCCTCTTCTGAATCATCCAAATACTCTCTAGCAAACTTCAGACAGCCCTGGACATGTATTGGTAGCCTTTGTTTCTTTGGTCCCAGCTCTCTGCAGGCCACTTGGTCCCCCCGTGTGGTTCTGGAATTTTTGCTCATCGTTCTTGTGATCATTTTGACCCCATGGGGTGAGATCGTGTGAGGGAGATTATCATTGGTCTTGTATGTCTTCCATTTTCTAATAAATGATATCACAGTTGATTTCTTCACACCAAGCTGCTTACCAATTGCAGATTCAGTCTTGCCAGCCTGGTGCAGGTCTACAGTTAAATTTCTGGTGTCGTTTTGAGTTTGTAGATAGGTGTCTTTCATACTGATAACGAGTTCAAACAGGTTCCATTAAAACAGGTAATGAGTGGTGGACAGAGGAGCCTCTTAAAGGAGTTACAGGTCTGTGAGAGGCAGAAATCATGCTTGTTTGTAGGTGACCAAATACTTATTTTCTACCGTAATTTGCAAATATATATATATAATTTTCAGAATGTGATTTTTTTTTTTCTCATTCTACAGTATCTCTAATTGTTGAGGTATATCCATCTTTTTAAGTGGGAGAACTTGCACAATTGTTGACTGACTAAATACTTTTTAAGGCCATTGCATACTTTGGTAAATACTTATTATTATTTATCTCGAATTTGGCATTTGTCTAACATTTTTTCTGTTTATAGTATAGTTTTATAAAATAGGGAAACATTTATTTTGCACATGTATATTATACTTTGAAACCATAAACGGCAAAAAAACAAAAGACAAAAAGTGGAGTAGGCTAATGTACATTTTTATTCTACAGAATGCAGAGTACAAAGGGGAATATTCAGCCACACACCCGACTGTGCAGCTCTTCTGGGAAGTCTTCCATGAGTTCCCTCTGGAGAAAAAGAAGCAGTTCTTATGTAAGTGTTCAGCAGCAGGTCCTCGACTGTCCACTTGTCTCATTAGTGTTGGCTCCGACTGTGCCCTCTCCACTTAGAATACTGACTATAAGTTGCTTACAGAACTTGCTTTCTTCAAGTTCTGTAAACATCTATGTGCCTTTAGCTTTGTCAAAAACAAGTCAACATTCTGATCAAAACCCTCATGTTGTCCATCTGCTTATGTTCATGTGCAACCTGTCTTTTCAAATGTAGCTGTTTTAAATACAGGTGTCCTGTATATTGTCCAGCAGGTACTGCAGTTTTATTTCCTCATTCAGCCTCATTCATGTTATAATGGTATATATTGTTACTATAGTAGCAGAAGAGTATCATCATTTTTAATATAAAAAGCCAAACAAAACACTGCTTTTAGTTTTACACCAATGCGCTTCATCCAATTCTACTGAGTTTACACAAATGAAAAGATCTATTTAACTGTGAAATGAAAGATGATGCACGACTGTGAGGGGTATGTGAGGAGAAGCGTAACCATGGCAATAGTTCCCATAGCATCGCCTCAGTAGCATCCACACAGCAGTGGAGTTTGTGGTTTTGTTCTGAGCACATGTGTGTCTCATCAGAACTAGCAGCAGGAGGTATTGACAATACTGGTTTATTGTGACATCTAAATCAAAAACCTAAAGTAAGGAATCATTTCATAACAAGCCAACAGCAGTAAGCCCAATTTAAAATGAGCATGTCATTGATTTTCATGTCGTGTCTTGAAACTCTCAATATTTGGATTTTTCAAATTTCTTATGGCAGCGGTCTCCAAACTCGACAACCCCTTCCAAGTATTACCCTAATGAAGCTGAAAGTGATACAAACATGACACTCTGAGGCCTTTATGAACTCTGAAAAGTCATTATCATTAAAGTGTATTATATAGACTATCAAACAAGCACGAAAATTTCTTTTTTATTTTTTTTATTTTTATTACATTTTAATACAATCACAAAAATCTCTTCTAATTTTCTCAGATTATTTTGACCAATCAGGTGACATTAGATCATTTCCAAAGCCACACCAAAAATATTGGTAAATATTCCAACAACTTGTGCACTAATGCATGCATAATAGGTGGCTACAGTTCACAATTCTCATAAACCAATCCAAGTAATGACTTATGACTCTTTTGGAAAAAATGCTTAGAGGCCACTGCCCTATGAGGAATTTGAATGGTGAGTTTTCATTAGCAGGCTGCAGCTCCAATGAAGTTCTGATGGATTATCGGTTCATCTGTGCCTTTTACAATCCCCCTGTAATATATTTTTTCTCATAAAACTATAACTTTGTCGTTAACAAACAATACATTGTGCACACTTGTCCAACGAGCTCCAACAAGTCACTGAAATAAACCTGAAGGCACAACTCGTTCACAGTGCGATGGAGGAAAGTGTGACGAGAGGGAAACTAGCTGTTACTGAAAAACACAGATTATTTGAGTGTCTTTAATTTCCCCTCTATCTTGTATTTTCTGTGGCAGTATTTTTGACCGGCAGCGACCGCATCCCCATCCACGGCATGGAGAGCTTGAAGATCGTCATCCAGTCGACCACCGCAGAGGAGCACTATCTGCCTGTGGCCCACACCTGCTACAACCTGCTGGACATGCCCCGCTACCAGAGCAAAGAGACCCTGAAACAGCGCCTCACGCAGGCCGTGGAGCAGTACGAGGGCTTCAGTCTGGTCTGAACTCGGGACGCTCCAGCTGCACTGCTGAGAAGGCACTTTTTTCCTCAGCCCCATGTGTCCAGGACGGGACAGGAGCAGAGATCATGCCCTCTGTCCGCTCCAGAAACTCTTCTCTGCTTCTGCACCAGGGTATGTAAAGGCTGAGCATTCCAATTGTTTGCAAAATGTTATGAATTATATCAGATGCTGTCAATAATTGCATGGTGTAGTGCGGATCCGAGAATTTAAGGTGGACTTTAAGGTTTAATGTCAGAGTTGAACATTATTCTATTTTTGTTTTGTTTTTGTGGTAATTAATTAATTTATGAAGAACCATGTGATGTTCCCATTTGTCTTTGAGTTGCTGGTGCATCCCTTGAACCAGCATGTTCTCCACGCCCCACCGAAAAGACAGAATTGATGATTTGCTGCAAGAAGAGTTGAAAATGTCAGTCCGAGCTGTCTACAACATTGCCTTCAATGATCTAGATGCTAAAGCTGGAGTTTTAGTGGGTGTTGTCTGTGTGCATGTGTGCAAGCAAAGTCTAGAATCCATAATCGTGGCTAATGTACTATTAAAATTCTAATTGAGTGTTTGAAAAGGTTGCTCATTTGTAAGTGCTTAACAATTATAAAAAGGACAGGTCTCTAAACGCATGGCAGTTTGTGTTGCAGCCCTCTCTGCATTTAAGATCTAAATGTTGAAAGTGTTTTTATTGTTTTTGTGAAAAGTTCTCAAATATATATAGTCTATATATATATATAAATATATATATATCGGATATATTTTTCTACCACATTTACTTGATTTTGACAGCAATAACGCTCCGTGATTGTGTGTCCGGCTGGTCTGTTGTTGGACTCACTAAAGCATGATCTCAGCCCGGTACCTGTTTGTTTAGCTGGTTTCTTCTGCTGACTTTAGTCCTATGCAATGATTTGTCAAACCTTTCTTTTGTGTTAGAGAAACGTTATCTGTTGATCTACAAGATTCTCTGTTCAACCAACTTTTGAATAAAAGGGGAGTGCAAGCTCACATCCAACTGTTTCTAATGGTTTTACTTTGGTGTTCTCTCTCACCCTTTTTCAGGTAGAACTTCAACAAAGTATGTAATTTAAATAATATAGAAATGATGATACATGTATATAATATGATGAGATTATAATTTATATATAATTTGTATATATATATATTATATACACACACAATATTAAACATTTTTATAACCTCATGGCAGTGAAGTTCTAAAAAAAAGGACACGGAGCACATGTGTAAAGTCAGTAAAAATATGATTTCATTTGTTATATACAAAATAATGTTTTTTACAATTTATGTACTAAAATGTACACACTCAAAAGAATTAATTAAGTCTGCCAGTGTTAACATTGAGAAACATACACTGATAAATCATCCATTTTGGAGAAAATAAAGTTGTACTTGCTCACAGAAATGTAAACAAACACAGCCACCTATATTTACAATCCAACAGAAGAAAATCCTCCATCTTGTCACCAGGGTCCAGAACTCCAGTGATTCCAACAGCTTTAGCTTATTTCAAGGGAAATGACCAAACACCATCCATTATTCATAAACATATCACTTTGCTCGTGGTGTCTTTGGGCTGTATGTCAAAAGCGTGATTAGAAAACAATATACAATTATGTCTATTACAGACGGCAATTAAATACTGGTTCATAGAAAAAAATCTTAGAAAAATACTACATTCATAATCTCAGCTGAACACAATCTTTCTGGCTTTAAGACTAGACCATGACATTTTCTCAGTACAAACATTACAAAAATAATAAATTACAGTTATTAGCAGTAGAAGTTTGATTCTTTTGCTTTTGTGTGTGTCTTGTTTTATCTGAAATGGCGTTGAAGTGGCAGTAAATAGAGACAAGTTGGGAGGTTTGTTCTGGTCCTCCCGCCGCACCCTAGTGTGGTGAAATGTAACAGTTTTTCCGCCAGTGTGTTTGCTTTATTTCTCATATGATCTTGCTGGAGTCTCTTTTGCTGATGAGAACTTCCAGGAGTCGCAGCTTGGCCTTGACGTGTTTGTATTCGCTGTACTCCACTGCCAGAGGGGAGCGGTCCTCCTTTTGAACATTCCTGTGTGAGAGCGAGGGATGACATAAGAGACGTTGGTTTGGAAAAAGCAGAAACAAGGAGGACGAATTACAGCCTTATGTAACGTGAATGAGATATTTTTCCTACCTTCCGTTTTGCCGAAAAAACTGGTCCTCAAATTCCTTGAGGTTCTTGCGGAGGCGTTTTTTCTCTTCGCGCGTCTCTTGCAGCTGCTCCACGAGTTCCTCACTGTCAAAGACATCGACGAGTGTTTAGTTTTGATGCTGTTTCTGCGAGTCATCAGAGAATATGGACTTTCTTTCTCAGCCCGAGTATTTTCATATTTTTGATGCGAAACAAACAAAAGGTGGAGCCCTTAAACTTTGAGATTGAAGACTACTACAAACAAGTACAGACCAAAAGTTTGGACACATTTTTTCATTCAATGAGATTCTTTCTTTTCATGACTATTGACTGTAGATTCACACCCAGGCTGTGTAAGGGCTATTTGTCCAAGAAGGAGAGTGGTGGGTGCTGGGCCAGATGACCTGGCCTCCACAGTCACCGGACCTGAACCCAATCCAGATGGTTTTGAGGTATATTATTTGGGTTTTTACAACCTTTGAGACAGAATCTTCAACATTATAACAAATAAAGACTTGATATATCTCATGTTGTGTGTAATGAGTCTTTCATGTAACAGTTTCACAAGATAAATTACAGAAGAAAATTGACTTTTGAACTTTATTGTAATAATCAACAGAGTTTCACCTGTACACTGTGGAAAAGATAGATAATAAATTACATGAATTCAGAATGTTTCTTTTTCTGCCAGTTGGGATTTATGACTTTATTCAAGCTAAGATATGTTGAAACCAGAGCGACTTCAAGCAAGTGAAATATTGTGGGCCTCATCAGTGTGTAAAATGTATGGCAACATCTAGAAGACCACTCACATAGTGGCGGCGTGCAGGTTGGACAGCCCCATGTCCGCGCTGTTGGGCGACGGCGACAGGTCGTCCACAGGTGAAATGAAACCGTCCACTTCCTCGTCCATGCGCTCCATGAAACTGAGCGCGCTCAGATCGGCCCTGACCGTCACCGTGACCTGAGTCTTTACGTCCGAGTCGTCCTCCGAGCCGTCCTCCTCCTCCTGCAAGCGGAGATAAAGGCCTGGTTAACTCATGCCGGCAGAGCTCTCTGTTCGACAACAGTCAGAGTGACTGTCTGCAGATTCAAACATGCCTGGTTAGTTCACGGTTAGGAATCACTTTATTGCTGCAAAATTCAAATGATTCAAGCATTGCCATTTGAGTTAGATGATTTCAAATAGTAGTTATGAAAAATAATTCAAGACCCTTTTTTTTAGACTGGCCATACATTATGGTTGACAAAAGTATCAGAAATCGGATAAAAAACTATTGCAGAAATATTCTAAACCTTGTGGTACAAGTACTGCTTGTACCACATTAAATTATTTGCGTGGCAAGAGAGAAAAAGGATTTATGGCCAGTCCAAATGAATACAGAAACTCTACACACCTGGCTTAACAGGCTCAAGGATAATGCAATCACAAATCACATCATGGACAAACTACTGATTCCACATTTTTCTACTTGGGGCAAACCACACGGCCGTTTCCCAGCCAACCAATCAACAACAAGCAGGCAGGCTTTGTGCCAGTCACGGCCTCGCTACAGCAGGAGGCTCTTCACCTTTATGTCATCGAAGAAGAGCGCGGTTTCGCCCTCGATTATGGGCTGTAGCAGCGGCCCTCTGCGTTTGCTGGAGGGAGAGCCCTGTAGCCACCGTTCAGAAGGAGGAGACACAGTTTTACTACTAAATATACTTCATATGCAGGCTGGAGATTTCGGCTCGCTCGTTTAAAAATCAGCTCTTGTGACGCGGGTTGTGACTGTGCGTCCTGGCTCTTTACGTGATGTGGGATTACGGCCCATTATATAATCTAGACCCTGCCGATCCACAATACACTCTTGCATAACACTGGGGTTATTAAGACGACATTAAAGCTGGGGTTCCTAGCTGTTTCTCATCACAAAAACATTTAGTTTGTCCTAAAAAGAAGAGTCCAGTGAGTCACTATGAGAGCTAATCGGCTGAAGCGATCAGCTCGGCTTGTCACATCAGTTCCACGTTCATGTAAAGTAACATCCTGGTATTAAAAGCTATCAACCAAGTGGGGTTATAGTTTGTTGCTGTGGTAGTTTTGTGGTGAAACAGAAAGGCACTTACAATGACTGGGATGGTGGAGGCTCTGCACAGGATCTGCTTGACCAGGCGGTATCGATCATACAGGGGCTTCATGGTTTGCCTCTCGTTCTTGGTTACCTAAAACAAAAGGCAGGCTCTTGTCATTGTGCCAAGTCCTCTCCCCGCTCTGTGCTAACACAAGAAAGCAAGAGCAGTGTTCTCGCCGCGTGACCGTAGCTTTGAAGGTCACTGAACAATGCAGAGCCAACCGAGTGACGGCAACTGCTGAAATATTTACCCTCTTTCAAAAACCCCAATGAAATGCTTGAACCAAATTTTTATCTGTTTTGGATTTTAACGGGGATATCTGCGACTTCAAATACACATATTTGACCATACACACCTGTATTATTCTCTCTCTATATATATATATATATATATAAAGTATTTTTTCATATTATATTGAAAACGATCCCTCTCCTTCACCAGTAAGATTGGCCTCAACTGTCTATCAAGAATTTGAATGAAATGTGTCCAATCAGGAAACTGTGGGGGCGGGTCTAACTGGCCTTGAAATAAAAAAATACGTCTCTCTATCGTCGCTAACTTTCAATGCACTTAGCTCATTTAATAATTCACACACAGACGCATCCACTCTGCAGCCGTTATGCACCGTTCATTGGCGATCTGGGTCATGGGTTTGAGCTAACTCCCTAACATCGTATCTCGCTGTATCCTCCGTGGAACTCACCGGTCGCCCGTGGATGTTCTCGTAGTAGAGGAGAGACTTCTGCAGGGCCACTTTCTCCGCTGCGATCTGCTCCCGGGTCATGTCCTGCCAAAAGAGGAAGCGAGTTGTGTTGAGTGGGCTGTGATTTCAGTATATTCCGCTGTGTGCAGAGGAAAGAGTTGTACCTTGATGTCTTCGGGACGGTTGACCTCGGCGCGCTTCTCCTGGAGTTTCTTCTGAATGTTCTCCAGTGTGATGTCCGCCGGGGGCTTGGGGGTCTTCTCCAGCTTGGAACCGAAGCTCTTGGGCAGAGTGTTGCTGCGCTGGCGGGTCACTGGAGTCAGGTCCTCCTCGGATTTCAGTATTCTCTGTTCTGGTTTTGGAAAGAAAAGGGTCTGGGTGAAACGTTCCATGGAGATAAGTGTGAGTAGGGTTTGGCATTTTTTGTTTTTGTTTTTACCTTTGAGCATTTTGCGGAGTTTGGATAGTTCTGTGACCCATCTGAGAACTTCAGGATTGGCAGCTTTGTCACTGTGGGAAGGCTGAAGACGACATAAGAATATATTTTTTAATACTTTGACGAGTCACTCTTACTATCCCCAAAATCACGACATACAGAAAAACAGTTTTCACAATCTGCCAGTTTATTCCTCACATTTTGTGCTGCTGTTTCTGTGATAATGTGTTTTAGAGTTAGGGTTAGTGTTTATCCCTTGTGGACACTTTAGGCTCTTGTAGCTGTAAATGTGCAATACAAATATACTTGGCTTTGACATTGACAAGGCAGTACCTAGTTTTGTAAAATAAAAAATTGTAATTTCTGCACAAAGACAAAATATGTTGATCACATTTTGGGCTTGTAACCATCAGGACATATACATACGCTCCTTCACAAACTCAAACATCTTACTCTTGTCGTGTGTTATCCAAGTGCTTTTTCGCTCAGTCTTTTGAGAAAACCTTCTTGAGAGTTTTCTTTTGTTTAGTACAGACATATTATGAGCACATCTAATCTACCCTTCAACAGGTCAAGAGCCTCAGACGGCGAGACGGCAGGCTCTGACTCACCCTGTACTTTCTCTCCTCCTCAAACTTCTCGTCGAATCTGTGGATCTTTTTCTTGAGGACGTGAATTCTCTTTGTAAGCTGCAATGAAGTCAGCTCCTCTTGGTCGTCGTCACAGGAGCCGAGCGACGAACTCCGCCTGCGGCTGAAAGCGACAAGTTGCACATGTTAATCAAGCTTCCGGTCTCGCGCTGCATTTTCATAAAGTTTCTCTTGGTCAAATGATTTCATAATGTGTCTAACTCTTCTCCTCTATAACGTCTTACTGGTGACGGTATTATTTTCAAAACCCTGCAGCCACACCGGCCCTTGCGTAGAATCTTTACCTGACGAAGGAGTGTGCGTTGGGCGGAGATGGGGGCACTTCTGTATCTTCCAAATACTGCTGTCCGTGTCCGTAGGCGTAGAAGCGCGGGGACACCATGGGGTCACTGTCCTCGTCCAGGAGCTGTCTAATAAGCCGCCCACCGCCGTGAGGAGACAGTCGCGCCTCCTCCCGGTCCATGCACTCCCGTTGCAGCAGGGGGTAAGCAGGCACAGGCTCTGGAGGATACAAAAGAGCTCTGTGTTAGGGACAAGTACTCCTGCTTTTAGGATTGTTCTTTAGATCCAGTACCTCCTCCGGGTATGGAAATGCGCATAATAATCGGACCTAGTTTTTGCTTCAACGTGTATCTAAGTGTGGAACCGGTTTATTTGGATTTGAGATTGATAAATGACCATGTTTTTTCTTCTACAGTACATCTTGGAACAATATGAGCATCTGCTTTTCAAACTGTGTATTGCGTTTTTTGTCCCAATACTGCTCCTGTGTGATTGTCAGGCATAAAGTAACATATAGAGTAGAATGCTTCATACCTATGTGATGAAACCAGACACTAAAACCCAGAACTGTGGATGTCACAAACACAGAAAGGCTTTAACCTACTTCCTTTGGGCTTGAAGGAACACTTGAAGCTTGCACATTTTGTTCCCAAACTTTCCTCTCGCTCGGTAGTCTGGCAATAATTATGTTTTGTTAAAACAGCTCAGCAGATGCCCTTGACAGTCCGCTGCTATAAATAAAATCCTGCTGCTTGGTGGGATAATGTCAGGCCACAACCCTAGTACAATATGTTACAGAGATGGACCCCTTTGCTCTATTTTCCCTTCCTTCACCCTGTTTTGGAAGAAACTGACAAGACCAGGGAACAATCAGGATCACAGGGATGGGCGAAACGTTTCTAGACACCGCATGGAGTCTTGGTGTGAGCTGTTTGGGAGAGGCTTTGTGGAAAATTAGAATATGTAACTCCACACTGTCAGACACTACCAGGCGAACCCGAACGCAAAACACTCTCAGTGGGAGGTATTCCAAGTAAACAGTGGAGATGTTGTGCAAATATGCGGCCAGTCTAAATAGTGCCCAGTGCACATTTTTTGGGGGAGCATGGATCCGTAGGGGGAGCTCAAATTGCAGGGTTAGTCCCCCAGGGTTCCTCTTGTACTGTTAGCTACATGCGGTTTCTCACTAGGCAGCGTGTTAGAGCAGGTGAAGCATCTGGCATTATGTCTACTGAAGGTCCATTACGTGCCGAATGCTCATGCTAAGTCTCTATGGCATTTGGGAATTAATCCTTTAAATCAAGTGCTCACCAATGGCTGTGCCGGATTAGGCTAATAAAACAAAACATGCCTCTTTGCCATTTCGCAAAGGTTGCGGTTAGCGTTGCCATGCTGGCAGGAAGAAGGGGGGTGCTAGGAAAAAGTTGCAAGTCAGCGTTCATGCCAACTTACCATCGCAACAGCTTGAATAGAATATGAGTTTGAAATCGAGAGAGGGCGAGTTTATTAAAGCGGGATCTAGGAAAAGGAAAGAAGGCGTACATAGGGACAGAGTGAAATATAGAAGCTGAGGTTAGCGCTTTTTGTTTCATCAATAATACATGTTTGTGTCAACAGTCTTGTGCGTACTTGTAAGAAACGCTTCGGGCTAGTGAGATAGATATTATTGCATAGTTTAATTCTGTGTGGATTGGAAGTTAGGGACAGCAGCTTTAAAGCACCACACTTACTGCATAGACAAAGATGAACTGGCTGTAAATATCTGTGTGAGGGCATAGGCGCAGAGAATATCAGGTTACCCACGCCGTGTACTGGGACAAGGGTCTTTTACAGTAGCCCCCCCATCCCCGCCCAAAAATACTGTACGTGTGAAGCTGTGCGCTGTGGAATGAGCTGACCCCCCTGGAACAGGCTCAGTGCCAGCGACAGACAAACCAGTGTTTCATTTGTGTGATGTGACCGAGTGATCTATTGCGCCCGATCTGTGTTTTCGTCGCCATGAGGTCATCGATGTGTTGCGAGGACGCGGTGTACAGCGAGCCGGAAGGAGGTCAGGAGGAAGAGACAACAGGGAGGAAACCGCAAGAGGAAAAGAAAGTGCAACAGTAATGCGCACTTGGCTTCATTTCGGCCTCGCGGGCGCCTAAACAAAAGCACTGTGTTCCAGGCTAAATGCAGATGCATTAGGGCACAGTTATACATATGTTGTTGCTCAGACTTTGATCTCTGTAGAACGTTCAACCGTGAGAACTATTTTTGAAATGCTGTGTTTACTTTTGACATCCTGCTTTGTGACTTGGTGCTCATTATGGAACTAAATCAAGAAACGCATTTGCTTACATAACAATTAATTAGAAACATCAGATTCTGTTTATTTGCATTTTAAAACCACAATGGAAATATTGTGTGAAAATACTGCAAAGACAATATCAAATTACACTAAAAAACCAATACAATTAAAAAAACAAAGAAAAAAAAACAGGAAAACAAGGAGAAAAACAAAGTACAGGCACCTACTAAAAGCAACAAACTATTGGATCAACAATTATGGTGCTTGTGGAATGGAACTGTTAAAATATAAGCTTTTGTTTTCACTAGAACATTACAGACTGCAGAAGTTAATGATTTTTGCAAACATTTAGGTCACGCCTAAAAGCAGAACGTGCTTTGTACACTGAAGCTTGCCCTTCCCATGCTCCTGTGTGTTTTCACATGTGGCCACTAGAGAGCTCTAGAAATCATAAATCCTTCCTTTCTCCCAGCCCCCAAAAATGAGGCTGTGAACTTCTGCTGCATGGAATATTCCAAACGCAAGAGGAAACTTTTTACCTTGTTGCACCTCGAAAGCATTGACACTCTGAACACGCATTCTTCGTCAACAGAGCGTGACATGCCCTTTAACCGCTCAACAGTAGGAACCTGTTTGTTGTCATTCCGGTGTGCCGTTTGGTTTGGCTTATTAAATGTTACATCAACGCGCTCCTCTCGTGCTGCAGCGTCTAAATGCAATCATGCACGTGCTCCATTTTTTTTTCATGAACAAATATTGATACAGAGGCACTTGGGACTGGAGTGCTGTCATCTCACTAATACTCACTAATACTCTCATACTAATGATGTATGAGAGGCAAGCATGAATAACTAAACAGCCAATTATATTTGATCATGGGCTCGTGAAACAACAGTTTGTGTATCTATGTGATTAATGAGTGAAAACCTGAACAGCAGTCAATTGTAGTAAATAAACAAAGCTTTTGGAGTAACAACTGCAGTAGTGTAAGTTCAGGGCTGGGGCAAAAACAAACATGAGAGGCCCATGTGGTATCACTTAACAGAAGCAAATCCAACAGGCTGGACAAGTCGCAGTTCCAAATTGGCTGCACGCTGAGCATGTGCCTGAATTGAAGTGTCTACTAGATTTAAGAGGATCTGGTGAAATCAAACCCGGCCGAACAACTAAAGTTTCCATGCGTGTGGGACAAAGCAGTTTAACAACAATTTCAAAATGGAGGAAGTGCAAAGCATGTGGAAAAACAACACACATGTGACAGCCTGCAGCCTCACCTCCCCAATTGTTGTCCTCCGTCAGCGCTGTCAGGTCCAATCGGGGCACGTCCTCACAGCCCGATTTGTCGCAGTCTGGGTCCGAACCGCCTCCTCCGACCCTCCCTGAGTCACAGGCGACGGGAGACTCCTGGATCTTCATCCTGAGCGTCTGCACAACCATGAGAGTAGAAAATGTGAAGTGGTGATTTGCAGCAAAAGCTTGGTGACCACAATATACAGCAGTGGGAGCAAGACACACTCTTTAAGTTGGGTCACACACTCCCCCTCCTGCTCTAGGAAAGCCCAGCCCTCGCAGGATAGGCGGGGTCTTGTTCTGGATTGGACGGGAGCTATTGGTCAAAACATACACCCATTTTTTCTGCATGTGTGTGTGTGTGTGGGCAAGAGGTGTGGTCAAACCCTGCCTACTTTTTCCCCTTTTGCTAGAATCCTACTCCCTCCCTTCTTCCTGCTTGTGTCCTCAACAGTAGTCCTTGCTTTCTTTTGCCTCTCTCTCTCCCCACCCAGGAGCTGTACTTGTTTGTGCAGTATGAGCAAAAGAGGAGGAGGAGGGGGGGGAGAGAGATTGTGAGCCAGCACACGTAGGCTGACTTGAGATTTTTTTTTCTTTCCAATCTGTTTTTGTGCAGAGTCTCAGAGCAATAAGCAGTCTTGCATGACTACAATTTGAGCATTTAACTGCTCAAATGATGTGATAAATAATTTATGGAGGACATTCCCAGCTGGTCATGCATCTAGAGCGTGTACAGCGGTCAGGCAAACTCAAAAGGGTCCTGTTTCTTCTGTCTGGGCGTGCGACCAAGCTAAAATTAGATGAAACGCAGCTCTTCAAGCACACCTCATAAATGCCAGTATGCGTATTCAGGGATATTGTGGAGGGCGTGTGGCTGGGAAAGAATTGTGGGACTTTTCCATAATAAATTAGTTTTGTTTGAGAAATGTTCAGTGTAGAAAGTTCTACAAGGCAGTGAAGAGGGCTTTTCATTAGTTCAGAGAAGTCAAGTGGATTGCAGTGGGTACAAAGTAGTGCTAATGCTGATATGTGTTGCTTGTTAGGGGCTGAGAGCAAATGTAGCCTGTAGAGCTGTTACTGCCACTATTCTGCAACATGACAGCACAAAAGAGAACATGCTGCACTAGTCTGTGTGGAACAGAGCAGCTCTGACAGGAATGACACGCCGAAGCATTAGAATATAGATGACTTGAAGAGAAAAATACACCTAGTATTTGGAATTTTTGGTGACTGTGACTGATTTGAGGACAGAATATATATCTGAGCCTACTGAAAAAGTAAACTCAAAAAGATAATGATGCATGTATACAATAAAACAAACATCAATTGTGGGTACGTTCTGTGGCTACTTGAAGGTGGAACTTTTGTTTTGGATAAACGTTGAAAGGGATAAATAAATGAGACAATTAACAATATGAAAGACAATTATCATTTCATCTTGTGAGCAATACTAAACTCAATCAATAGTATGATTAGTTTGGTATGAGCTGCCTTTCCATACGGTGTGCCCTGTGGTCTTTGATGGAGGCTCAGGGGACGACAGCTGTAAGCTAAGGCCAATAGACATCAACACACTGAGCCTATTACATAAGTCCGTCATATGTAGCCGCTGAATCACCCACATGTTTTGCCTATGTGTCAATAGAACTATTATCTAACTTTGCTTTAAATATATATAAATATACATAAATATATACATACACTGATAAATATATATATACATACATACACTGATACATATCCTGAATTTCTCCTACGGGGGATCAATAAAGTATATCTACTTTATTTCCTTTCTTTACATGACTATTGGCTGTAGATTCACAGTTAACTGTCAGCACTAACTGACTTTTTTTTTGTATTCATTATGAAAATGCTATCCATGTCCGTGTAGGGCATTGGGATATTCGTCCTTTTGAAGAAAAAGTAGCGCAGATTTGTGCTGGCGTGACATTATATTTTAGATCGAGTTTTGATGAAACAAGGAAGAGAATGTGTTTCGGGTCGCAGATTGTGACCAATCACAGCGGACCACTGGCCCCCACTTTTGTGAGAAATCTACAGGTCCGTTAGCATAGACGGCTAAGTTAGCACAACAAGCGGCGGAGCTAACGTGAAACTTCCCCGTCTTCGTCATCGGTTACTGCTTACACAGCGAGACAGCCATCCAAAAGAAAGTCCCGTTCCTCCGTGCTTCCCGGTTTTATCGTTCTATGGTCACGCCATCCACGTGCAAATCCATGTCCATGTATTATCCATATTGAGAGACGCTAGCTCCGTCCCAACAGTGAGTGTGTGTGGGGGGCGATAGCTTCGTGGGTGCGGGGAGGGGAGCAGAAAGAGAGAGGCCAGCGAGTCTGCGGCTTCAAAATCCCAAAGTCAGTTAGAGCAGCTTTAATTCATAGTTTTGATTGACAATTTTCATAATCATGACAATAAAAAAAAAAACTCTTTGAATGAGAAGGTGTGTCCAAACTTTTTGTGTGTGTGTGTGTGTGTGTGTGTGTGCCCGCGTGCGTGAATATCTGCAAACGATCCAAAGAAGAAAAGCAATGAAATAAATCGATAAAATCCACTACTGTATTTGTAAACAATCACGGGTATTGGTTATGTTAAAATATGAATTGGTTTAACATGACATTTAAGTCAAAAGATTTTTTAATAGTTTCAAAAGATATGAAAATGTGTTGAATACATTTATTTATTAAAGTATGACTAAACAAGAAGTTTAACATTCACTTTAATTGCTATCAGCAGCTTTGGCTGTCCATGGTCCCAGAAATCTAGACCATGGTTTTTGGAGAGCCAGAGTATTCTAGGATCTAGCTTTTTATAAACAGCTACCCGAGTGTGAGAAACTGTATGTTTCTTTATGCCTACTTTCAAGCTTAAAGTGGGTAGTTTTTATCAAAAATACTGAATTCTGTAGAAACGCATATGATTTTGTTTTTTTATTCATTGCAATGTATTGTAAAAAGCTACAAATAATTATATATTATCTAATAGGGATCTTGAGCTGGGTTCACACCATTAAGAGAGGTTATTTTTACCCTACTGATGATGTGTTGCTGCAATAGTAATCTATCTTATAATTTAACATGTTACGTAATTTACCATCATCATTGCAACCAAAAGAAAATTACATTGCAAGAAACAGGGCTTTGGTCGGATAACCCTCTTTGTAGGCATAGGTTATGTTTTCTGTTCCTTTGAGGATGACTGGATAATCCTCGAAGTCAATCTAAAAAGAAGCAAAGTTTGAAAGCAGCTTTTGAGGGGGCAGGATGGTGTAGTAGCAGCAGCTCAAGGCGCTGAGAGGAGCCTGCTCACAGATTAGCAGGAGCACAGATGTTCAGACCAGTGAACAGTCTATTACATCATCACTAGAAGTCCAACTGGTGCAGTCTGCGCGTGCCGGGGATGGGCACAATTAATGCTCTATCTGAGACACATTATGCTGAGTGTGCAAACAAGACTCGTGTGAAAATCAAGCTGTAAACTTTATACTTAACAAATCTGTGGAACTTCCTCCCTCGCTACACTACTGATACTAAAGTCCACTAGAAGGTCAAAACAGGAAGTGGGGATGTTGCCAACCGCTTTTGACGAGAATTTTGTCATTTGAGATTTCATAAAAGAACACGGCTTGATAACAAGAAAAAATATCTAATTTGGTCTAAAACCTCAACATGTAAAAATTAGTCAAATAGTAAAACATGCAAACTACAAGAGAAAAAGCATTAGCAACCTGTCATTCCACAAATAATGTTAAATATAACCAGAAAAACAGATACTTTAGGGTGAAGAGTCATACAATGAGAGCATAGTAGGCCTTATTTACACTGGTGGTAGTAATGATGTTATGAAAATGTCTTTGTCACAACACAGCATTTTATCTTTGTGCTGCTATGACATCACGCTTGGTCGTGCTCCTTAAATAAGCGTTGACAATTCTCAGGCAAAATGACTCTTTACTATCTCATAACTGTGTTTGTCATTGGTAATTTGGGAAAACTAGAAAATATTTCAACGTCTGGTGGTAGCATAACATTATTATATACAATTCTAAAAGTAAAAGGTCTCGTCATTTCATTGGCTAGAATAATGCGTAATACTATACAATAATGTACAGTATAATAATTCTAAATTTTAAAGCAAAGTACACATACATTAGTATGTTAGCTAAATTTGTAGAGTGTGAGAAATAGCTATAACTATATTCTAATATAAAAATAATCATATATTCTTCTTATTTCAAATCAAAACAAACATTCAATCATTATATGAACTTAGAAAAAAGTGCATGGGGATTGTATTCTGCTTGAATCCTTTTGCTTTGCACACACTTCACAAGATAAATTCTTACATGGTGCATAAAATCGACAAGACTATTCAAGCCACTTTTGGTGATTCTGTCTGAGTCCAGCCTGAGGTAATTGAGACTGTGTTAAAAGGAGGTGTGTGGCTGTCTGTCTGGGCCTTAGTGTTGCGGTAAGCACACATCAGTGGTAACCAGCTTACGCAGTAAATTGGCAGTGCGTGGGTCCAGATGGCATCGCAGTCGCTCAATGTAGCATTGGCAAACCCATCTGGACCCATCAAAGTCAAGATCCGAAAACAATCTGAAATACAAGCACCTTTCATTCTAGGCCTGTGACAAGTTCATAGATTAATTGGAACTAATCGGTTATTGACATACAGCTGTAGTAATCCATGAATCGTTATTTCTAACCTACTTAAACAGTCCATTTACAGACTTATTACATAGAAAGTGAGATTTATCAAGCTTTTATTTGTTGTAATGTTAATCAATTGGATCACGACTTGTAAAAATCCTCTAATAAAGCAGCCAAAGTAATCAAAATTATGATAAATAAAGGCTGGACATTTGTGACTTTGTAGGTAATTGAGTCTATATCATGTATTTGTTTAAGATTTTAAGTTGAACAGAAATAAATGAACTTTTGAACAATATTCTGACTTTTGACTTTCACCAGAACAGTATAATGTCTTTACACAAATCAAACAACCCAATGCCTAACAAGTCATCTCTATAAAGTTGGTCTCCAGGGGCATCACTGAAGCCTTGTTTTGGTCAAATATACAAATTAACTCATATTTACTGACATTTCTGGACTCAAACAACCAATCAATTAATAGAGAGCAATCAAAATTTGTTCTTCAAGAATAATTGAAGAACAAATCGACTGTACATTGTTTGAACGTCAGTCTTTTGAGGATTATGGTAATGATCCCATGACAGTGTCCTCTGGGGACAGTGGGATTGATGATTAAAGTTTATATTTTTGAAAGTGTGTCAGAACAGGTGGTGATGTTGCCTATACATCAGATGAATGTGGGGCAATACTTACTGAAGGGGAAGGGCTTTCTAGTGTTGTGTCATTCCTGAAAAATCAAGAGAGGAAAAAGCTTATCATTAATTAAGTCTTCAATCATCTGTAACCTTAAGCCAACAGAGATAAACGAGGAAAACGTGCGTGTCATAAACTGAACAACAGTAAAGTTAGTAGCAGACCACATGCTGGGAATTGTATTCTTATTCTTACCTGTTTTGGAATGCCTCCATGTAGGCTGATGTCTCATACGGCTCCTAAAATAAAAAACATCCTGTTATTATTGCTCTAATAATCCCAAATATTGTTTCACAGATGAACACTCAAGTAATGCAATACTGATAAAACAGGAAAATGATACAGCCATAATAAACAAATGACTCCAGGAGTCTATAATTCTGTCCAAACCAATTGTCCAATGCTTCATAATACCCACTCTTTAAGGACTATTCTTAATAAATGAGACCCCAAAACCTTCTGAATGACTTTTTACTGCTCGAACTTAACAAGTTCTAATACAGATGATTTAGATAATTAAATGGATACAAGGAGAACAGTGTAAATTTTGTCCCCTAAATTGTGAAAGCTACAGTGTTCGATGCATTTTAGAAACTATTTTGTAATTTGATTTTCACCTTAGGATTTATAGAGGAAACCAATTATGAAATTGTTCAGGTACTCGAACCCAGACAAATAATAAAAAGAACAAAGATAAGGGGGCTAAAGTTAATTTAAAAAACAAAACAAAAAATAATAAGAATTGTTTATTCTGTGAAATTTCAGTTTTATTGAAGACAACTTGTGACCCTCATTTTGGGAACACCCGACCTTAAAGATATATAAGTATATGTCACTGACAGGAACATTGGGTGAGTTTGCCAAGTGCTCAGCTGTGCCAAATATTGCTTACAACCATAAGTGTGTCAAGCCCCAGTCAGGGTATGTCATCCATACTGTTGCATAAGAATTTAGTTCGGGACAAACAGCCTTCTTGTCCTGAGGAGAGACAGTGCCACTTGACGAGTCTATTTCCATCCGTCTTGGAGCTGGAGCACGCCATGCAGCTAAACTTCACATTTGCTAAAGATCACCAAGGTACTAGCGTTGCCTGGATGCAGCTGTCTTGAAAGATGAGTCACAAAAATGAATCCAGTAACAGCATTCTTCACAACGTGTCCTAGTCGGAACGTTAATTAGATCCTCAGCCCAATTTGCATTAGAGTCCTCACGCTGTTCTCTGATCGTGTAGAGTCCCATGGATTGATGACTTGTAGACAGGGAGGTGCACACATGAGAGATTCTCCAAAGATTTCCTCTGCTTTGAAAGCAGAGATTTTTTAAATACCCATTATTTAGATGCCTATTACACCTATTTGACCCTGTCAAACCCTGCAAGGCATAGTCAATACTTGTTTGGGGTAAGCTAAATTACCCCAAACAAGGGTAATTTTTGCAATACATTTGAGATATTTGAGATATTAGATATACAATCAATAATCAATATTCTAATAACAAGTATTGATATGTTAATTACCTCTTGGCACAAAGCACAACTAAACTCATGTTGTTCAGAAAAAAACTACCAATAAAGAATGTCCTAACCCACATAATCGTTTGATCAATATATCTCAAGAGATGGATGGGATATGTCATGATATATTGTTGACAATCAGCATCATGATAGAATCATATAGTTAAAAAAGAGACAAATATGCATAGCTATGTTGCTAAATTAAAAAAGGTTTTTTTAATTTACCGGCCACCAAGTGGGCTGAGGCCTTTCATCAGACATGTCGGCCTTATTTAAAATAATGCCCCTGTTTTGGACCCATCCTATAGATTCTGGCTCAGCATAGTATGGAAAAGCCAAACTGTAATCCAATGTGAGTAAGAACAGCAAACGTCCCATTTGTGTGTGTTCAGCACTGTGAGCCTTTCCCGTGTCTCTAACTCTGCTTAAGATGCCGCGCAGGTGCATTTTCATGCTGGAATCATGACCAAAGGAGACAACATTTATTATCCTTCAAAGAGAACAAAGTCTAGGCATATTTTGGATTTTTAAAGAATGCCGAGGGACATCTGATGGAAGACAGCTAGCCTGTCCGCAGAAAGTGCTGGGAAAAACTTTCTGCGGTGGCTCCTCTGCGTGAGCTTCTCCACAACAACTCTATAGCCAATGGTAACTCTAAAGCCAATGCAACAAAGCCAATGCAAACTCTAAAGCCAATGCAAACTCTAAAGCCAACGCTAGGTAAGATAACGTTTTAGCTTAACGAGCTTAGATTAAATTAACGGTTTGTCTGATTATCCGCCTGTCAATAATGTTAACACAGCCGCAGCCTAGCTGCCTCTAGCTTCCTGCTAGCAGCTGAACAGTTAAACAGTACTAGATGAAACTGTGAAATGGAAGACACAGCATTATCGAGCACTAGTTAAAGACGTAATGCAGGGATTGACCAATAATTTGTGGATATCAAAATTGCAAGACACATAATCAACTAATGCAAATTTGAAATAGTTTCCGGCAAAACATATAATTTATTTTATTGAAAAAATATGCTTTTAATACATTTGAGTTGTCTCAGTCGGAATTGTGACATCACAGTGTGTACAGGCTCATTCAAAATGTACAGTGACTCTGACAGCAAACGAGAAACATGCAAAAAAACCTTGTCTATGAACTGAGTATCAACGGATGAAGAGCAAAGCGAGTTACAAGAAGAAGTCTTACACTTTTTGCCACATGTTTGAGCAGATGCTTCCTCGGATAAAGAGAAGAGACAAACACACACCCGGACAAGGACCTGATGAGGCGTTTAGAAAGAAACTTGGGGCAGATCGGCACAAATACTCAAACACGCCTCTTATACCGGGAAACAAAAAGGGAAATAATTATTAACTATTCGTTAGGGCCTGTGAAACAACGGACTGACTACAGACACAACTTAAATTCAATTCTCGGCAGCAGCACTCACATACGCAAACATATTACATACACCAGTGGCTGAAACAAATGTAGGGCTGTAAAATACACATTTGCGCATGCATCAGCCGGCACGAGCCGCATTCTTTTAACGAGTGCTCTCAAAATTCAACTGCGACTAATCTATACTTTTTTTTGAGAGACAAGAAGAGCTCTGTAGTCCAGCTTCAGAGGTGTTTTTATTGGATGCACAGGTTACGCAAAGACACGCATACAACAAGCAGAGAATAGTCCTGTGCGCGTGTGGAGGATGCAGACTCCCGTTCACTTAGGGCTGGGCGATTAATCAATTTTAATCATTAATTCGAGTTTTACGTTTAGGGCGATTTCTTTTTTTAAAAATTCGATTTTTATTTTCTCCAGCGCAGAACTACAGCGCTAACGCGCTAACCGCGGGTCTATGGTGTTGAGCATTCATTTTGAAGCTAACCTAATGCTAACAGTCTCCCTCTGGCCTGATGCTCGCTCTCACAGTTGGTGCTGTTGCAATAACACTTCAAACGTTCAAGAATCAGACTTTATTTAAATCGCCAAAACACACACACACAGGCTCCGGTCGCTATGTTCGTACGCCATGTTCGTACGCCACATCTTTCACGCTCTCTCACGCTCGTTATTCCAAAGCGCACTCCCGTGTCCGTGGCGCGCACACACTCGTGTCCCACTGAGCCGCTGCACTTTGGGGAAAGACACGTCTCACACATTGCTCTCATTGCTCTGATACAAACAACGTGTTCCCCGCTGTCTGTTAGCTACAGTAGCTGTTAGCTACAGTAGCTGTTAGCTACAGTAGCTGCTACAGTAGCTGTTAGCTACAGTAGCTGCTACAGTAGCTGCTAGCTACAGTAGCTGTTAGCTACAGTAGCTGCTAGCTACAGTAGCTGCTACAGTAGCTGTTAGCTACAGTAGCTGCTACAGTAGCTGCTAGCTACAGTAGCTGTTAGCTACAGTAGCTGCTACAGTAGCTGCTAGCTACAGTAGCTGCTACAGTAGCTGTTAGCTACAGTAGCTGCTACAGTAGCTGTTAGCTACAGCATCAGAATGTAAACAGGAAGCTCGCACAATGCGGGAGTCACTGAAGTTAGTATTAGCGCCACCAGCTGGACCGAGCGTTGTACTACAGCACAGTTACTCAGGCACAGTTGAAAGAACAAGCATGAAAACCCGAGGAGGCTTTTGGAAAAGACTGTCTGTTACAACATTTCTATTTTGAGTAATCAGTTTTAAAAATGTGATATTTCATGTAAATAATGCATGTGTTTAATAGGATTGATATATTTGCGATGGGCCTTGTTTGTGTGATTTAAGTTATTTTGAAGGTGCATAGTGTCATTGTAAGTGAAGTTATTATAAAAGTGTTAAGCTACATTTTCACTGTTTACAATGGCAGAGCCATCTCGTTTACAAGCATGTTTTAAAGCTTAATTCCTGTTACACTTATGCTCCATGGGGATTTAGATTAAATTGCATAAAGGAAAATCTATTTCTTTGTCAGTTGTAGTTTGTTTTTAAATAGAAAAAAATAAATCGATTAAAATCGAAAATCGGATTTGGTGTGAAAAAATCTGAGATTTATTTTTTTTGCCACATCGCCCAGCCCTACGTTCACTACATACAGCAAACAACAGTCAGTGCCCCGCAGTCACTTGCGTTCTCTTTTTCAACTTGAATTCCCAGAGAGGCTACCTGCTTAACGTGCGTTAACGCGATAATTTTGACAGCCCTTTTATATATATATGTATGTATATACATACATACATACATACATATACATATACACACATATATATTTATAAATAACCCCACTATGCATGCAAACAGCATATAACTGGATTCAATTAATTAAGAGGCAAAAAAATCTCCTGACCCACTTTAAATTGTCCTAACTTACTGAGAAACATAGTTTTAGAAGTTGCCCGAGTGCCCATAGGAGTCAGATCCAGGTAGTGGGCGAAACATGATAACCAGGCCCAGACTGTACTGTGTATCCAACATGGTCATTGCCTGCGTGCCGCCGAGCTGGTGCAGGGGTCAGGCAGGAGCACTGACAACACAGCCTCAGAGAGTTGTTTTCAAGAATTTCAGAATAGTAGTGCTCAGAAAATGCACTAGAAAATGTGTTGCTCAACTAGATGCTAATGTTAAAGATTTACAGCACATAGTAGACTGACAAGCTAATCATTTGCCTCACAACATGAGAAAGAACAGACAGGACATTTTATGGACAAAAGCCGCACCCACTTTCTCATATGTATATTGCAAATACATAATGTGAAAAGACTTAGGGTTAACTGCTTGCAGGGCACTGTAAAGATGGAGAATGATATGATTTAATGAATATTAGGCTGCTGCACTGTTTTCCATCAACTTCAACTTCAAACTGTCATCCTTTTTTGCTAAGTGACTAATAAAACATACTACATCTCAATTAAAGTAAAAAACATTAAATATTCAGCTGTATTTAACCCCATCAAAACAAGAGACAAAGACTGAGCGAGATGACTCACCGCATGGGTATCCTGGTTGTCACTTAGCGGCAGAAGCATCGGGCTGTGTCTCCACTCCTTAGCCCTCGGTGTCCGCTCTACGGGGCTACAGTGGCCTGAGCTCTCCACCAGCTCGGCACCAGCACTGAAGCGGTGGATCGACTGGATATTCTCCTTATTGGTGTCTGTGCGGGCGGATGCAGCACTGTAGATGGCCACAAAAAGGAAATGGTGAGGAAATTGAGTCTGCTCTCTCATCCTTGCTCTCCTGTCATGTTCAGTGGGGACACCAATTATGTTTTTTTTTTTTTTCTGTTTGGACTTAAAGCCATTTCTTTTTTCAGTAATTTATTGTGGACACTGGTCTAATCTTATGTACCACTGATATGAGACTCCAGTGAGTGTCTATCATCAACACAGAATTACACTGCTGGTAAAGATCCCTAATAAAACATCTCAGAAAATTTGAATATTTTGATAATGTGCATTGATTACATTTAAAAATCTAATCACAAGCAGCAAAGGCTCAAGGTTGAAAATGATGCTTGTTTCCATTGTGGCAGATAGAAGCTGGACTCCATGCTCAGTACCTGCTCCTGTGGCATGGACTCTGTGCGTCTCGCTGCCTCTGGCTTCGCCGTCTCTCTCGGGCGCTGCTGGGAGTCCCTTCTGGACTCTTGGGACACGGTGATGAGACCCGAGACCTTTGACCCCTCCAGCCGTTAACACCAAAGAGATGCTGCTCCACTGTTGACCGAATAGTTCCTTCCAAATAACTGCAATGTGAAACAATTTTAAGAATAAATAGTAATATAATTTAAAGAAAATAAACTTCAGCCATCCTCACTAGAAGATGGCTGAAGTAGAAGGAACATATTTGTAACTCAACACCTTCTGTCTCAGTCCTGTAATGTAATATGCTGTAACCACTCATCCAGTTTGGGGGTCACTGTATGTAATGTATATAATAGGGTTGGGATTGTTTTTGATCCAAATTAATCACATATAAATATTTGACCTGACAACAGTGAGAAGTACTTTTTCACATGGATTTTTATACCATTGAAATGACTGAATACAGACACTTAAATGAGCATTATGTAAAAATATTTTACATATTGCTCATTTTATTCCATGTTTTGCCAGGAATTATTTGATAATCAAAACGAGACATTTTTAGATCTGCAACCACCAGTTTCTTTACCTGTGAGCTTAGCTTGATGCTGTGAGTTCTGGCAACACGGATCACAAACTTTCTGATTGGCAAAACAGTGGAGGGCGGGACATCGAAATGAAAACAATAACAAGATGTAGGGGCTGTAAAACTAATTTTGAAATTTGATTATCTCGGCTGAGCTACTGTTAAAGTTAAAGAAGTATTGGAAAAAAACATGGTTTGTTAATGCCTTTTGGCATATTAGGACCATTTAATGATGACTTGGCATGAATATCTTACATATTGCTACTTGAAGCAGTCCAACAGACCGGAGCAACTTTTACCATTAAGTGTAGCAAAAGCATAATTTGAATTTTGTGTACTATTTTCCACCACTCCTGGCAGTCTTGTGCTACCTAGCGAACCAGCCAGGCTATTAGTTATTCTCTCAGATGTGGACTTATTTCCCTTGGTCCTTGAAGCAGTCACCTGGTGGAGTATGGCTTGGGTGTGGGTCTTTGTATTTGGACAATCATCCACACACGTTTAGTATTGAAGTGTTACCCGATGTGCTGTGGTAACCACGCTCTCATCAACATTTCACACATTATTTTTCAAAGTCAAATGCTAGTTGGTGTGCCGGTATAATAGGCCTGCCGAAACTAATCCCATAAGAAACAATCCGCTATGCGAAATGAATTAAAATGTGTAATTGATTTATCTTAAGTCACAGCCATTATCTATGTGTGTGTGTAGTAGTAGGTCACTGTTCTATCCTATCAACACAATCAGACCGGTGTTTTTTATTTTTGTTTATTCATAATCACATTATAACTGTGTTTGCAGCAGGTAATTTAAAAATTTGGAAATAAATAAAACAAATTCTATCCTTCTCTCTGTTAGCAGCATAGGGATAGGCAGGCAGATAGCATAGCATTACTTACCTGTAAATGTTCTATTGACTGGCCTAAAATAATCATATTGCAATGAAATATCCTGACAGACAGAATTCTGTAGTGATAAATATAGTAGTATAATGTATCAAGGAAGAATGCCATATACATTTTCAGTGTTTTCAATCATTTTACAGAATGGTTCACAAAATTTGGCATGAAATTAACCAATGTTAATCTGTAACATTGGTTGAATTAAAAAAATAAGTAAATAAAGTCCAAATGTACTTAATTCAGGATAAAAACAACCTAATCCAAGTATTCACGACCCAACATTGTAAGCATAGTAATATAAGAAAATATGCAAAACAGTACTTACTCTACCGCATCTGGTGTGCGGTGTCTTGGAGAGAGGAGGTGACTGAAAAACAGAAAGAGGAGGAAGGTGAGTGTGTATATAATGCCACTGGAACAGGTGGTCACAACAGGTTAAAACCCCCCGAGCTGCAGTTCTTGCCCTAGGAGATGGAGGCATCCTGTGTGTTGTGTGTTAACTTTAGCTAAGTCCTATGGGAGTCTGGCTTCTATGGCGACCAATGTGCAGGGCCCGTTTAACTGAAGCAGATACACAAAGGGTTATTCCAGAAGCCATTACATAAGGCTTTTAGAGAGAAGGGAGCAGGACATATAGATAATTACAATAATCTATTTGATGGTGGCGTACTACTCAAACATAATAAAGCTGAGGGAACAATCCAATGTTCAATAAAAAGGCCACTGATGGATTATTATGGATTATTTAAAAAATCTGAACATGATTATATACCCTTTGGGGTATTAGAAGGATTACTTCTAATGTCATCTGATGCAATACTAAAGAAAAAAAACGTTCGACAATATGATTTAAAAATGGTGTCATCTACTTGTCGACAGGTAAAACTCTGAGAATTAGAATTATGTTCAAAAGTTAATTTATTTCTGTATTTCAATGTGAAACCAATATATACTGTATACACTCAATGACATTTGTTACAATAACAATGTTTTCAAAATATTACATGATTTACAAGCTGTGAGCCATAATTATCAACATTATAACAAAGAAAGAGTTAATATGTCTCACTTTGAGTGTAATGAGTTTCACATTGTAAGTTAAATTATGAAGTAAATGAATTGAACATTATTCTAATATACATGTTTCACCTATAAACTCCTTTGATACCTTTTAAGTATGTAATAAAGTCACAAATAAAAACAAATACCTTGAAAGACGTAACCCAGGGCTTTGTCATCAGTAGCTTTTCAGGTATGCTACAACCATGCTGCTGTCTAAATAAATAGAAGATGACGGGCATAGGGCGGGCATGACGTGGCCGAGATAGGGGCCGTGTTGACTGTAAAGGCAGGTTTGTGTGTAGCTCTTGATAATGGGACAGATTACTAAGGATTGGTGTCACCCGTGCTGAAAGGTGACTGTACTGATCCGACAAAGGCTTTTATTAACACAACAGAGGTAGAGCTGGTGCTTAAAGAGGTCAGAAGCTTAAACACGGGATTCATAAATATTCAAATAATATTATACCAATGGTCGGGTATAGGAAGACATAATAATGGGTAATGGACCAAAGATGAAACATACTGCACACTAATAGAACCCCAATTACGCAACAGGTGAAGGGTACGGTCATTATTGTGCACACAGCATGAAAATGTGGCCCCTTGAAGTCAGTTAATAAACAGCCCTGAAAATATTGCAACAGAGGTGAATGAAGTAAATGACATGATTAAAGCTGGGGTACCCAAATTTCTAAACGCAAAAAATGGAAAGAAGCACTAAAATCCATGTAACTAGATCCCCGCCCTCAAAAGTGTTAGTTTTTCTCACTAGATTTCTCTTGTATGAATTTATGGCTTCTGTCACACAAGAGGGAAAAATTAAGGACCACACTCTCAGCCTAAAGTGTCAAATACCAACTCACAAGGCTCTTTCTTTCAAGTATGCAAACAATATAATGTCATAATTATACTTTTTATCTAGACTCTCTCTGTTGGGACGAACAAAATGTATTTCCTTGGGGGGAGTTAGTAGTTTTTGACATTATATGATGATTTCCCCTTTTATTTCCTGATCTTATCTGAGTGCCCTTACAGCAGCCACAAATATTTTGTTTATATTATAACTTTGAGTGAGAAACGCCACATTTCAAACCAAGGACGTGTAATATAGTTCTATGTCTAAAGTGTCAAGAAAGTTCAGGCCAAAGTGTAATTAATCTTATTTAATTTCAAGTATCTAGTTTACATGACAGCCTGGTTATTGTAAATGTGAAAATTGAGTGGAACTGCCTCAGCTTTGACAAATTGAACCCAACTGTATGAGGTAGTAAATACTCCCAGATGGCATTGAATTGCATGGTGTACTTTAGTCAGACTGCAACAATCATGTCATCAGCTAAACTTGTGACAATGAACTAGTTTGTATGAAGTGTTTGGTGATCACAGCCTGAATCATGAGCATGATGAATCACAATCCAAATACAGAATTACATAACAAAACCAGTACATCAGATCCAGCCATAAATCCGTTTCAAATACATGGCTGACCAAGTGTCTCTTAGCAGCCCCCCACAAGCTAAAATAGATACCGAGATCATTCACGGATTTACTGACTTTATCTCCAACAAGCTGCAACCATGTGACATCACAACATTCAAAAGAGCCTATACTTTAACACTGTGGTGGAAAGCAGCTTCAAAATCTTACAATGGCAAATAAACAGTTTCCAGTCTTTTCTTTTCTGTCATTCTTGGGCCAAATGCTACAAAACTCAACTGTCAGTCAGTACAGTACATCTCAACTATGGTTTTATTATTTTCGCATAAAAGTGTCCAAAAGTTGTGACTACATTCAAAAACATATATGCAGGATATCGGCCAGTAGAAAGAACATTCAGACATAAGGAATAATACAGTAAGTTTTCAAATGTAATCTATTAATAAATTATTGTTTATTTCTTTAAATAAAGTCTTCTTCTACATAGCGATGTATATTAACTGGCCCTACGAAAATACAGCATTACCATTTTTGTCGTATCAGAACAATTTATAAAAATAAAAATGTCATATTTTATATTTAGCGGATTCTATAAATGCGAACACATTGTTTATCACAACAATATTTTAATGACATTTTTCTTTTACCAAACTTGACCTTAATAGAACTGAAATATAGAAAGTAACAATGCCATCTCCCACAACAAAACTCGGTGTACCTAGCACAATCGGGTTACTTAGACTTATTACAGTCAAATATGAAGGTGGATCCAGTTTGATCAAGCAGACTCCTGTTTAGCACATGAAGAGAATGTGAGAGGCAACGAAGGACAATTTCCCCAGTCATTGGTCACCACCATTTGTCTCCGTGTGTGTGCGAGTGTATGTGACATAGAGCAAGTAGGCCATGGAGTTAGTCATTGATAAACGTGAGAGAAAGAATGAGAAAAGGAGACAAAGCAGAACAAGATAGTGACAGTCGTTTCATTGGGAGCGATAGTATAACTCATCACTCATTGACATTATTGTTGTAAACTGTGTGTAATTTGCACTACTTTACATTATGATGTTGTTAAGATATTCTGTGCGTATTGATTATATAGAAACAGAAATATTTGGGTCATGTGATTTTTAAGGCATATTTTAATTTGGTTCAATATTTAATTAAGATTCTTATAAAAGAGTACTTTTAGAGACTACGCCTCTGCACAGAAGCCAAAGCAACTGGTTTACAATATTTGACTTAAATACAAAGCAGAAGATATATATGACATATTTAATTACATTGTTTGTGAAGAATTTTTTGATTGTAGAAGGAAATATCTAAAACATGTGCCAAAAGTTTGAATTAATAACCTTGTGAGTGCACGTTACTAAACGGCCAAGAGTGCAGTGAGCTCAGTGTTGCATGTGCTGGTCGGCCGGCTGCCGCTCTCCCTGGTGCCCCTATTGTTGCTCATTATAATAGAACACCCCCCTCCCCCACCTCTACATCAAAACAACACACATGTTACATCAAAATTACCTTCTGTAGAATGGAGATATTGGTCTCTCTTTGTCATCATCGTCACAATCTTCTTCCTGGGCACTAAAACATCAAAAATGCAAATACGCTTTTTGTTAAGTAGTTGATTTTTAAAGTGGCATGTTCAAAACAAGTCACCCCCACCACTACATGTTTTGGGGAAGCTGGAACAGGGACATGAGGCAGGCTTTTGTGAGGAGGAGAATAGACGCACAACTTCACACATCACTGCTTTTGTGTAAATTGTCTTGGGTGATAATTATAAAGTGACAAGAGAAATGGTTACAGGCTGGCGGCTACTGTCCAATGGCTGACAAAGAGCAACATATTATGCAACGATAAAAGTAACTTGACTCAAATGCACAGATTGCTCAATGTTTACATGTCCAAACAGTGCGGTGAGAATTGCCAAATCAGTTGTGTTTGATTAAGCAGAAGTGAATATTGAATACTTCTTCTTGTTTTTGTCTTTTATGTGCATGTAAAGGCAAATAATATAGTAAAATGGGAATATAAAGATTTGACATTTAGGTAAGCATAACCCAATTCTCTATAAAATGATCATCTGTGACCCTCTTGGATCTTCATTAAATATATGGTTCAAATTAAATGTTTAGATTGAGCTAAAACTATGTTAAAGAAGGATGAAGTCTCATAGACCTGCTCTATCAGTGAAACGTGTAGCTTGTGCTCCTTTGCAGACAAAGAAAATTGCCCAAGAAAGAAATTTTCTGGGAGGACTGAGAGGAGAGCAATTGTGGTGCGCGTATGTGAGGATATGAATAACATATAGGAAGCTTTGTTTTTGAACATGACAAGGGAAGATGATTTTAAGGGTCAAGTTATTTTAAACATTTTTCCATATCATGTAGGCTACAGTATCTACTCAGGCAGGTCTTACACAGCTCAGTTGTTCAGGCTCAAATACAGTAGGCCTGTAGTGCAATTCTGTCTCACAGGCTCTTATGATGCATGATGAATAGAGGATAGAAACAGTATGGACTTAACAAGCTGCAGTACAGGGGTGTAAAATATATGTACATTATAAATATGTCTATTGTATATTTCACACGCACACTGCATCTCCATCTGTGTCCCTGCAGGTGTGAAAAATTTCACTCTCTATGGTTTGTGTCTGTTATGTACAGTGCCTAAATACAGTGCAAATTTGAGCCAATCATTATACTGTATGCTATATTAATCAAGCCGATGTTGTAACGTTACTGAAGAAGATGTACCAAGTCTGGGATCGCGTCTTTAATTCAGACAGAAGACATGTTTTATTGTCGATGGTAGAGACAGCACGAACACAGATACAACAGAATGCAAGTGTATTATACAGAGCGGAGGCATGGAGACCTCCAATCAGCAGCTTCCACGGTGCCATTTAGCTTGGCCTTCAGATAGACAAAACAAGGGAAAAGTACAGGCTTCTGCACATTGATAGAATGATGAGTTTTACTTTAACAAAAGTTGCTTCAAAGTGTTATGAAATCTCACATTACTATAACACATTTTCTTAAATTCACTAGGTATAAAAATGTAAGCTAGTCCGTATAAGTACTCTTGTTACATCTGTAACCAACCTGGTAAAGACATTTCAGAAAATTCAAAAGACTTAATGTTTATAACGAATTGTGAAAGCAGATCTAAAACTCCATGAGGCTTATAATGCGAACTTCACATTATATAAACAAAGGATTTATGTTCCATCTTAACTCATGAACAAAGCAGGTCAAAGTGCACATGGATAGTGTACTTCAAACAACAAAACTCCTTCAGGCGTCATGAACATGAAACTCTCCACCACTTTCCTTCGGGCTCCCCTCCCACTCTCAGAAAAACGCATATTATTCCTCAGGTCTTACACAGATTGACATGAGATGTTGTGAAAGCGGAAATCCTGCTTACCCACTACCTTACTGAGGCGATTTGTGGGAATACTCTGACAGTCTGTATTGTGAATGGAAAACTACCAGCAATATGTAATTTAGCTGCTCATGTTTCAGATGAATTATTCCTCTGTGAAGCAGAATTATGTTTATGTGTACAAACGGAAAGCTTTTAACCTTGTCATCCATAACAGACCATGGCACATTCTTCAAATAATTCAGTGGACACAATATTTATTGTGGTCACACCACGCCTCTGAGCATTTATTGGCTAAGCCAACTAATCTTTTTGTTCTTTCCATTTGACTTTAGGCCGTGCCTGATCATAGCTGTAAAGTAACACGGAAAAACAGTACTAAGTATCATAGTCCACACCAATAACCCTAACCCTAATCGCCTTCACCTAACCACACCATGTAACCATATAAAAGGGGGTGCTATCGCACTCCTAATCTCCCTTTGTATATAGCACAGACTTACTGTATGTCACTAGGTAATATTACTCCTCTTTGTTTTATGTATAAAATCACAGTACTTTAAATTTTAACATATTTACATGATCACCCGTGGCAGGTTCATCTGCTGCAGGCTCCGGCCAACAGATTGTACACCTGGCCACACTCACACTGCAATGAGGTCAATGTAGCACAGCTCATTGATTGCACCCAAGCATTTTAATAACATGTGTAAGATTTATATAATACAAATCTAAAGGCATGATGTCAAAGTGGGAAAATTGTATCATACTATTCAGGGCCAAGACAGCTTTTAGATAGAAGGGGAGGAGTTACTGTATATGTTTGTGCCATAAATACCTAATGGATCTAAAAACAACTCTGGGTCTGTTTTTTATGGTTAAAACATCAACATAAATCTATTTTGCATAATGTCTCCTTTTAATATAGAGCCTCATCCACTCGTCTGCTAAGTTACTAATGTGGATTTTGATAACTCGTTTCTATGTTGCTTGGATTGTTTTCATTCATCACAAGCTGGTGACAGTCGCAGGTAGGATCTATGATAATGGCCTGTTGGGAAAATTAGATTTTTTGTTGTTTTTTTTCTCAAAAAGATGGGACATCTGGCACCATTGTCCTAATTACCTGAAGTACTTTTTTGTTTTGCTTTATTTTATAAAGCATTGTTGTTGTGGATCTAAATGCTATAATGTCAAGCTTTATCAGACCATAACCATTTCTCCAGGAGCAAACACATAGGTGGAAGACACTTGTCCTTGCTGGACTCCTGTGCTGACAGAGGCGTCAGGTGTGATGGATGAAATGAGGCTTTTGGGAGCCGCCCTCACACCACACTGAAATGTTCCAAGCTCCTACCAGTCTCCACCAGTCTTCTGAGAAAGACACTGCGCTTACATCACAAGAGTCAATGAAGCATTGCCAACCCTACACAAAACCCTGCATGCAGCCACTCAGTGTGATACTGCGGGCCGGGCCAGTAATAGGCTCACACACCGTTGCGACTTGCTACACACCGACATGTAATCCCACCTGGTATGGCGATACTTTCACTTGTATTTGTCATACTCTTGCAGTGTGTGGGGAAAATGGCCCGAGAGTCAAAATGAGACGGCAGAACGCGTATTAAAATTGATAAAACAGGAGATTTATTTTGCACAAGCACAATAAACAGTCCTGTCCCTTGGGTGTGACTCCCTAACAAGGTTCACCAGGAAGCTTTTATACTTGTGGCTCCGCCCACAAAACACAAAATGGCTGACAAGGACACACCTCTTCTACAGGTATAAAATACATGAATGTCATGAAAGTGGCTTTAAAAGGGACAAAGTAACCTGCTTTGTCACACAGTGCATATGTAACTTCAGTCAATAAATGTGTGCTCTAACATTTACCTAGCCTGGACTTAGCCATCCGTACACTCCGGTCAATCATCATTTCCCTGCATGTAACGTCTGGGTCTGGTCCCTGTGTCTGCAATTACATCAGTTGAATTCCATTCGACCAATCAGCGTTGGGAGGCGGGTGTTGTAGTTACAGTAGATGTGGGTGATAAGGAGTTTGCGCCGAACGGGCTGGTTGTAGTTTGGCACTGGCAAAGAATGCGATAGTAAAGTAATCCGGTCTGGTTCTATCATGAAATTGAAGCCGCAGCAAGAGGAATGTTTAGCAAATGTAATTTCTGGCAAAGATTGTGGCGCAACTCCCCCCACGTGCTCCGTTAGCGGCAAACGAGATGGCTAGGCTAAATGCTAAATGCTAACAACTCACTCTGGCGCATTACATACGTGACGGTAAACTCAGATCCAATCGTTTCAATCTGCAAAAGGAGTTAATCCCTCCCACCTGTTCACGGAGCTCAATGGAGCAAATCCAGACCTTAGTACGAAATGTAATTTGTACAATGGTGTGGTAAGACCAGGCTAACATTTACCCTGATGTGAGAGCTAAAAACGGCTCAGGTTTATGGAGTCCAAGACAAGATTCAGTTCCTAGAATGAAACTGCCAAGCGTTGTCAACCCGGCAGAGATTTATAATTCAATTATCGTGTTTCCTATCGCAGTGCAACTCGGAGCTATAGCAGCAGCTTTGCTTGTACCGTCAAGAGACAGTTGGTCAAAACAGCTAAAAAAAGTCAGGAACAATTTGTTTGGATTGTCACAAATAAAATAAGAATCCATCCTGTCACAAATAGTGGTGGACAATTGAATCACATATAAATAATCCATGTATTTGTGGATTCTAATAAGAGAGATGTATATTTACATACACCTCGAAATGCATTTGCATATATCAAATATAGTTGAATTCTCACATTCTTTAATTCATATATCCATCTCTATTATCAGAAACTTTCTTTTATCAGGACTTGTAGGTCTGTGTCACTGTATGGTGTCTATTTGTAAATACCAGAAAATCAAAACTGCTGACGCACATTAGGGGGGTCCTCTTGTCATGGCGTCTCAACACCAGTCACCTTATACGTGCTGACAAGGAGAACTGTCTGAGTGGGAAATGCAATGCAAGATTTACTGAAAACCTGGCAGAGAGGGAGGCGACAGCCACCTTAGCCACACACATTTACCCTTTGATGTAAAAAAGTTTCAACTGCAGCACCTACACAATAAATATCATACCCAAGGGTCTTCAAAAATGTATGCTTTATCACCCAGGAATATTGAAAATTCATTACTTTCGGGTTGTGCTACTTTGCTTTCCTTACATTTATTGACAAGGTTGTTTTATTACACAGCCACAACAATTGGGAATTGACTGTATTTAAGGGGAATGTTGTAATAACATGCGATTAACGCAGAGTGATCAGTGATCCCCCTGAGAGTCCTACACTCTCTTTTATGTGATGTGTTCATGTATCCGGTGATGACAAGCATCTGAACATCTTGATTTACGTTGTACTAAAGGTTACCGGGGTGATCAGCGGGGTATTGCCTTAGCCATCAAGTTTATGTTTTCATCTTGTGTTTACGAATTTTATGGTGACAGTAATTCTGTCACATACTTGGATGTCAGCCATGTAGTTGACATTCTTTGAATTACATTTTAATTCGATTCCCACCATGGGACCTACTCCAACTGCTCCCACTAATGACTGCTGTCGTTGTGTCCTTGGGCAAGACACTTAACCCCACGTTGCCTGAAGCCCCCCGCTGAAAGATCAAGGCGGTTTCTCAACTGATGGAGCAGCCATCTTCCTGTGGACTCACCCCCTGCAGAAGATCAGCGAGGGACTGGTGCTATGAGCATTGGGTGGCAGCTCTCATTGCCACCCCCCCGACCCAGAAATGGACAAATAAAGGGGTTGAAAATGAAAAATGAAATGAACATTTTAATTGAACAGGTGGTACATTAGTGTCATTATCAAGGTTAACATTTATGTGATTACAATAGTTTTCACCCCAATATGAAAAAGTGAGCTACATGTTCAGAGATATATAATAGACCTGTCGTATGCTCAACTAAAGTGAACAGTTGAATCACATACTCATTCACTGAAACAGAATTATTGACTGCAGCATTATCAAGTGGAAGAGTGAAGTTTTGAAGTTTTTTCTTTTTGAAAAAGAATGCATTCTAAAAATTCCAAAATACAGGTGTAATCAGAGCCAAGTTTGATGCTGCTCTGAGCCCCAACAACAGGCACAGCTGTGGGGCTGTTATTCCAGGACCGATGACATCTGATATGCAGGGGTTCTGGTTTCGGGGTCTTATAATAGACCACATGGCACTAGCACACTGCTATGAGGGTCCCAGCCTCAGATCCCTGATTGGTGTCAGTCTCCACCTCAGCCTGGGTTTACAACACTCAGCCTACACAAACAGTGGGCATAAGCTATTTATTGAGGTGCCCTGCAGCGGTTAACAATACTAGATAGACATTCAACTGAAAGGATGCCCTTATACCCTGGTTTGAAGGATAGCTTTGCATGTCTTTCTTCATTGTCCATTTTAATTTCTTATTATTTAGAGGCAATATTGGGAGAATTGTATGTAGGTTAGGGCTGTAACAACGTAATTAATTGCAACTAATTAATTATTGAAATGGCTGTCACCTAATCCATTCACCCATACACATGCTGAGGAGTGTTTTTTTCTTTTACTCTTAAATTACTGAATAATTAAATTCAAAACAATCCATGTGTAATACTAATGAGTCATTTCTAAGATAAGATACAATAAGATAAAACTTTATTGATCTCACAATGGAAACATATGGTCACTCAGGGTGACAGGAAATGTGCTAACAACAGGAAATCTGCAAACATGTTAAAAACAGTGAACTTTTGATGTTTTAATAGGGCATCACTTGAGCTATGTTTTGGTCAAATGTATAAGAAATCCTATATTCCCATGTTTTCAGGACCCAAAAAAACTACCAGTAATCAATTATCCAAATAATAAGTTAAAGGCCAGCTCTAGTGTAGTTGAAATGCAAACACTGACCTCCTCACACTGCCCATGCCGTTTGATGAGCTGGTGTCCACGCTGTAGGGGTTAGGGGCTTTGCTTTGATGACAGCAGAGCCGTGGTTTCAACGCAGCTTCTGATCTTTCCGGACTTCGGATGACCGGACGGGACACAGGCCTGACATTGGGCTCCCCTGCAGACCGGTCGGACTTGGGTAGAACTTGATCTCCCGCTGTGTCACTCCTCTGAGATTTCCTCACCTGGTTTACACAGACGGGGTGATAGGTGACAGGTGAGTCTCGTGACAGGTAATATGATATATGAGCGCTAGCATTTGTGCACAACCAAACTCATTCAGAGACACGGCACAGTGTAAGCTGTCGGGTTACGGCAAGAGGTGCTTTTGGAGAGTGCTCTAAAGCCGATACGGAAAGTAATAAAGCAAGCACAAAAGAGAGACTTGTAAACCAGTAAGGTTAGAGCAATGCATCTTACCGCTCTGACCCGCAGTGGGTATAGGTTATCAGTCCCGCCAGCAGTGGAGTAGGAGTAGAACCTTAACCTAATTACTGCTACTTTGTTAAAATTCCCCTTCTGCATTTTAACTAAGACAACTCAAACAGCTATACATAAATCTTTTCTTTTGGAAGAGAGAAGCAGCAAAACCGTGCTATGTATTCCATGCAGCGATGCGGTTTCTCTGTCGAGGTCCACGGTCTGCGATGAGAATTTTTTGAGTTATAAAGTCAACTGGCGTTAAACAGTCATGGAACATTGAAATGGGATGACTCTAAAATCTATCGATACAAACTCCATTTAGGGCCATTAGCGCGCTTAATGAGAGAATGTAATTAGCCGTTTTCACAGATCCTGCTCGTGCCTTTGGGGGTTATCTGATTTGTCTGGTTCAATCGTGGAGAAACTAAATGAAAGGGAAAGTGCATTGTGGGTGATGAAGTCATGGAATGATTTATTTTGTTCCTAAAAACTATAGCTAGCTTTACAGTTTACAGTAATTATGAAGCAAATTTCTGAATATTGTGTAGGTAAACCTAGTAAGGGATCTATTATAGTTGCCAGTCAAAATAAAACACAATTCAAAACCAATATTTCAATACTATTATTATAATTATAGAGAGAAATATCAAACAGTATTTTGAGTTACTTCAGGGCACTATCCATTAGATGTCAAATGCAACAATCTCTTTCACATACATTCGGAAAGAGATTTTTAAAAATATCCAGATGCACAGGCTTTTGATGACATCTTAGTGCCAGCCTGAAGAATAAACACGTTTCTCATGCACACTCTCTTTGCTGCTGCCGTTTGCTTTATCTAATTAAATCATGTGACTGAGCAACAAGGCCACAGTCATCACAGACAGTCTTGTGAAATGTATCTGGGTTATCACTACCAAAGAAAAAAAACATGTATGTGCTGAAAAACTGCCTTACAAACATCATAGTGACTTGGAGGAATCATACCTTCGCTTTTCTTGATCTTGGTTTAGGAGCATCCGTGTTGAGTTGTTGCTGTGATTGAGATTTTGTGGTGGAGGTTATAGTTCCATGCTGAAAAATATACAGTGCAATGTTTAAAACTTTCGAAAATGTAATTGGGATAGAGAAATGGACCTCAAAATGGAGCATGTACGCTCATTTTGGTCAAGGGCTGCAACGAACGCAGCCGAACCTTGGGGCACAGAGATCGGATACTAATACAGAAACAATGGTGGAAATAACAATGAAAAAAAAATCACTCTTAACATAATGGCTAGATGAAAACTAGATTGTTTGTAAGAAGATATAGATTGCTCAGCCTCTCTTTGGTTTTTTCTAAGAACACCTTGGTCTGGTATGATCTTTGGCATTTAAAATAAACTTTTGTCTATCTCTGCTGACTATTTGCAGCTGTGTTTGTGGCTGCAAATGCTCCACAGGCTAATGCATTTCTTCTGTTCCTTTATAAGTAATTTCCTAACAATTTTTAGCAAAATAAAGACTATTAATTCTCTTCTTGATACGAATATTTACAAATGTACACGCCACAAAAAATACGAATTTGGACCCAGTATCAGTGAAGATTTACATGGTTCTTCATGGAGATATTTATTTCCAGTCCCTCTGAAGACCTTCGCGCCACTGCGCTGACGTCAGTTGCAACCCAGCAATGGCCTTTTTCCATCAATGCTGTAAATGAATCATGATACTTTGATACTGAAATGGTCTCACTTGTTTGAAATTTGTCATAAATACAGTATATGGGTTTCAAAAATCTATGAACCCCATAATTATATAGTTTTAAGACTTCCTTTTTTATTAGGCAAATTCTACAATGAAGACTTGTGGTTGTAATTTTTGGTTCCTGTTTTATTTTGTAATTCTGTTCCCCTGTGTCTTTTGGAGTTTTACTTCCTGTTCTGTTGATTGTCTGCCCCGCCCTGATTTGTTTCACCTGTGTCTCTCGGTTAAATTCTTTCCCTCTTGTTGTCAGTCCATTCAATGTTTGTTCTTGGGTCGTCTTCAGTCCCTGTGTTATTACAGTTTTGATTTTTGGATTCTTGGTTATAAAATTATATTTTTGCAGTACGTAATTTTGGGTCCCTCCTCCTTTCCACCACGTAACACTTGGAGCTCAACAAAAGGTTTTTTTCTGAAGATGCACATGAACACTCGCTCAAGGTAGAAACAAAATAAACAAAACCACTGCACTGGTGCTTCACCTGCTACTAGGAGATGGATGTCCATTTATCCCAGATATATGCGCGCTTTGAAAACCCGCACAAGAAACAACATCATCTCAGTCTATTATTCGGGTTATTAGAGCTGAAGGGACTGAGATTATGATTCAAATGTTTTGTTTATGCCTGTAATATTAATATTTTGTCACTGACACAGATATAATATAGCAGGATAATACCAGTAAAACTGTTTTTCTATTTGCTCATTTCATTTAAAAGCAGGGAAATAGCCAATAGAATGTAAATCATTTTGCATATTTAACCCATTACAGCTAAAATGTCCTTGTTTTACAAAGAAAATGGCAGCAACCTCTCCACTTTTACAAAAAATTTACAGATGACAAATATTCACCTCCCAAAATATATATATTATATATAACAAGAAATTATCTGCCAGGTTAACTTGTAAAGAGAACTCTGAAATTGAACCTTACCAATTATAACAATCTTGTGATAAAAGTCTTGGACACAAGAGTTATAATTTAAGTTGCACGCTGAAATAACAATTCACTTTCTACATTATGTTGCCGGGTGTTTTCTTTGTCAGTCCAGCATTATAAAAAGGTCATGATCTTTTAAACCAAGTGAGCTGAAACACAACACAGGCCAGTCAGCTGACAGTGATAAGATCTCATGAGCTCACAGAATCCCGCTCAGTCCCACACACTCAAAAGTGAGAAGTTTGAAAACAACTTTTTTTTCCAAAACACGCTAATGCCGTGCGAGTGGCGTCACAGTCACATGGGGGTTGTTGTTGTTGGAGGACTGTGGATGGGAAACCAACATGTACGGTACATGCAGTAAATATGCTGATGATGAGATGCATTGTACCTTTATCCTGGGAGCTGGCTGTGGTGTTATTGAATCAGGACGACTCCATAACTGCCTTGTGTCCCCTTCTGTTGATTGTGCCTCCTACAAATATTGAGGAATAAAAGTGTAAATTATTTGAAGTGAGACATACTTAAACATAAATTCATAAATGATTCACCGAAGAAATTCCATACTGATTATGTTTTAGAAAATACATTTTGATTTTATTATTTTAAGTATCAAGCCTGAAGGTTGTGGGTTTGACCCACCACGAGACCTACTTCACGACTCCCACGTCTGCTGTCATTGTGTCCTTGGGCAAGACACTTAACCCCACTTTGCCTGAAGCCCCCACTGAAAGATCAAGGCTTCTGTGCACTCACCATCTGCGGGAGGATGCAGCTCTGACTGCCACCCCCCGACCCAGAAACAAGCTACAGGCTATAAAACAGGCTTTATTGCAGTCTAAATAACTGCTATATTTGGTTTGAGTGTTCACACTGAATGAGTTGGTCTGCCATGCCATCCTGCATCGCTCAGTGTGTAAGGAAGAGACAACCTGGTGTTTTGGGAGAAAAACCTGTGGGTTTGCTCAGTGGGAATGAGTCTATAGTTAGCCTGCCCATAGAAAACATGAGATTTTGTAGCTGTTGAAATTTTAACTACTCAGGTTATTAACTAGTCAAGTGGAGTATTTTATGGCTTTGGCAAAGGGGCAGCATCAGTAATATGTGCTAGTGCAAGGCCTCCTCGTGCACGTGTGTTTTTGAGAATTTGTTCGTGGGGAAACCGATATAGTTTCCTTCCTCCACCACCTGATCATATGGTAAGCACGAGTTTGACCTCGCATAAAATAAATGGTGCAGGATCTTTTTAAATAAAACTAATTTCAGAAAAAAAAAGATCTAAAAGATGCTAGTTATCTTACATTGCGTTTCTAAAATATGAAAGAAACTGCATCCACTGCAACGTCACTCTTTGAAGGCATCGAGTAGACACTGTCAAGTTTCTGCAGCTACATGGCCATTTATCAGCAGATCCTGGCACATATCCGGTTTTCTCATTTCAAGATTAATGTATTATATTGTTTTTAATCCACAAAGAAATCTACACAGTCCAGTTCAGAGCTAAGTACAGGCAAAACTAGAAACATAGACTATCTTTAAAAAGTCAATTTTCTTCTGTAGATTAATTTAGCAATATGAAACTGAGACAAAGTGAGACAATGTAAAAATCCCAAATAAAACAAATACATGCTAGGAGAGCACTGTTTTCAAAGAATCATTGTGCAATCTCCTGCCAAATGAAACGCAGAAGATATGAAAGAAAGCGACAGGTCTCCCAAAGCATGGATTACCAGCACAAGAAATGTCAGTATACTTTAAAATTCAAATTTTGATTCAAATCAACATTTTCTATAAAAACCTACCTTTAATATGGGAGCACCATGTAAGATTTTATGTGACACCTGTAATATAATTTTTCTGACAGTTGACAGTCAAGAAGCGCTGTATCGGACAACACATTCTTCTTGGGGTTATTGAGTTTATCAAATGTTGTCTGATGCTGCTTTCAGACCGGATCATGCGTTGCGTCGACTTTCAATGCAAAGTCAATGGTGGCGTGCGTTCAAGCGTCAAACTGCATGTGCGTCTCGGGATGCACGCACGGACTGCGTGGTAGAGACGCACGCAGGAGATATATTTTGCTGAGCGTTTCCTTGGACGTTTGTGCATCGACCAAGTGGTCACGGAGACATTAGCGGTCTGAGTGAGCAGACTGAACATAATGTAAACAGCTAAAACAGGAGCTACACCAGGACTAAAACCAGGGTTGACAATGGGGGACATAGTGCCTGTTAACATATGCTGTTTTATGCTCCCGTGACTGTATGCAACTGCTTTGAGCGTGTTCGCCGATGCGGAAGTACCGTTTAATAATAAAATAAAAGTATGACGCACCTCCGTGAACACATACTACTGTTATATGAATGCGAGGCTTCAGCGTTCCAGCGTGGGCAGTGTGAAAGTACCTTTACACATGAACCACTGTGAGTCTGAATATTCACCTGTGGGAGGGCTCAGCAGTAAAAATCTATAGTTTGTACAGATAAACTTTCGTAATATTTCATTTAAAAACCAACACAGGTTTGAGCTGATGGGCAGGGGGTGAAGCCAGACCGGGATCCCACTGTGTGAAGTGCAGGAACAGAACGCGGCAGATTTCTCCTCAACTGTGCCTTATCGGGCTATTTATAGAAACGTTGTGTAGCACCTTGACAACGATGAGGTTTGGGAAGTCTTCCAAGTAGTGCTCAATGTCCACTTCTGTCTCAAAGATGCTGCTGTAGTTCTGGATGAGTTTGACCAGGATTTTGTTGCATGTCGTTTGGTCCTTCATTGCCTCAAAACTCGCAGCCACACTAGACGAAAAAAAAAGAGGTGCATACAATTTGTAATGTTGATTTGGTCTTAGGTTTCAGACCAACGTCATTTTTAAGCAGGATTGTTTGATTTGCATTACTATTTGGGACATGTGACCTGCATTTGTTTAGGTTTATAATTGCATGTAATAATTCCTTCCACTTCTTCTTTATTGACTTGTGTTCAGCTGAATAAATATACAAAAAGTTAACAAACTTTTGTTTGTTAACCAAAGTTTTGGTCATAAAAAATCATATACATTATACATTAAATGATTAAAACTGGTTATGTTATTCTTTTCAACATGAACAGAGACATCTAAAATGACAGCTATTGACAGTATTTGGATATGTTTTCTGTAACACATGTCCAGAACAGGCCCACCCACTGTCTGTCCGGTCAATACTCGGCATGAAAACACAATGCGTGAGGGTAGAGGCGTTTCAGAGAGGCCTCTTGATGAAATAAGTCCAAACCCAAAATGAAACATGGCGTCTATCTTTTTCAAAACCTGTGGAAAGGCATCACTGCATTATTCATATTGTGCAGATTTATGCACTGTGAAAAACACAGTGTTTGAAACACAAGAAAAAATTGTGTTGCTCTGGCAAATGTATGTTTTGAAGTCAAATGAGTCCAATATTTAAACAATATTTAATTGTTAAATAAAGGGGTCATAACATGCTGAATTGTAACAAAACATATACAGTGATTTACCTTTAGTTGTTTTCTCTGTTATTGACACACTGAACGTCGTTCAGAGCAAAAATGTTTTAGTTTTCCATAATCTCTTGTAAAGAGACAAGACACTCACTCGCACCATGCCACTGTTTTTACTTACATTGTTCAGCATTATTCTAGGTTTTTCTATTCATAAAGCACCCTCTACTGGCTAACAACAGAGAAGTCTGCAAAAATAAAAACACTGACATGTACAAGGGCTGTGCAATTAAACTAGAAACAAATAGATTAAAATGAAGTCACAAGATTTCTGTAAAATATTTTTTATCCAAGTATTTGTTTAGAGCAGTTAATAACATTAGAGGTCAGTGGGTTCAACTGGACTCACACGTTTAGTGCATACTGTACAGCGTGTTTCAGGAAGATATCACTGAGCTGTCTGGTACCTTGACTGGATGCCAACGTTTAATATCAGATTCAGTGGACAGAAATAGGGGTAGTACGTCTGAGTGGCTGCAACAGGCAGATTAGACAAATTGAATAACATTATGTAAGAAATCCAATGTGTCTGATTTAAGACAATTCCAATTGATCCGCATCTAATCGATATTGCAATGTCAGACAACCTGTGTCCTGAAAGTGCTCATATCAAACTATCTTATATTATGTCATAACCACAAAAATGAAGTTTGCTTTGATGAAAGACTACCAAAAAGGGATGGACTCAGAGGGAAGTCCATCCATCCATCCATCCATTTTCTTCCGCTTCATCCGTTGCCGGGTCGCGGGGGCAGCAGTCTAAGCAGAGACGCCCAGACTTCCCTATCCACACACACCTCCTCCAGCTCGTCCGGGGGGACTCCAAGGCGTTCCCAGGCCAGCTGAGAGACATAGTCCCTCCAGCGTGTCCTGGGTCTTCCCCGGGGCCTCCTCCCGGTGGGACATGCCCGGAACACCTCCCCAGGGAGGCGTCCAGGAGGCATCCGGAACAGATGCCCGAGCCACCTCAACTGGTTCCTCTCGACGTGGAGAAGCAGCGGTTCTACTCCGAGCTCCTCCCGTGTGACTGAGCTCCTCACCCTATCTCTAAGGGAGCGCCCAGCCACTCTGCGGAGGAAGCTCATTTCGACCGCTTGTATCCGCGATCTTGTTCTTTCGGTCATTACCCAAAGCTCATGACCATAGGTGAGGGAGGGGACGAAGATTGACCGGTAAATTGAGAGCTTTGCCTTTCGGCTCAGCTCCCTCTTTACCACAACGGTCCGATACAGCGACCGCATCACTGCGCACGCTGCACCGATCTGCCTGTCAATCTCACGCTCCATCCTTCCCTCACTCGTGAACAAGACCCCGAGATACTTGAACTCCTCCACTTGAGGAAGGGCCTCTCAATGGGAAGTGAACGCAAATTAAACATTATTATGTCTTATACTATAAAAAGAAAATGGGTATTCCGCCTTCATGAGGATTGACTTAGGAAAGTGTTTGTAAAAAGTCGTTTTTGGATCTTGACACTTTTTGACTGGATATTTAGCTTTGACCTGTTTTTAAACCATTCTATATTTAAAAATAAAAATGTCCTGATAAGAGGTAAACATGCACCTCAGCCTCAACTGTATTTTTGCGCTATCCACCTTCATCCTTTCCATCAACTCTGACCTTGATGAAGAAAAGCAGCCTCACAGAATGATGCTGCCACCACCAAGTTTGACAAAGGGAATGGTGTGAGTAGAGTGATGAGCAGTGTTAATATTCCATCACACATGTTGAACATAAAACAGTTGCAGATTCCAGTCGCTTTGCTCTATCTTTGTGCAGTGAAAAACTATGAATTATTATTTATATTATTTATTTATATTATCATTATTATTATTATTATTATTATTATTACTATATGTCCAAAGACGATGCTATAAAAATAACAGCTATGCATCTGTACAATAATACAAATATATTGGTGGACTCACTGAAACACACTTGGTCCAAACACAGTGGCCAGGTTGTGTGCGGTCATGCGGTTCTCCTTGTGGTTGCACTCCACCTGAGTGAGGAAGTAGCAGAGGTATCGGAGGAGGCTGAAGTGGACCTCTGGGAGCCTCTTGAGCAGGTTTGCCACATCAGAACAAGAGCCACTCTCTCCACAATCTAAAAACACAATTTAAAAAAAAAAAAAAAACATGCAGGAGGTTAAAACAACAAGTCTTACAATTTGGCTGTCACACATGGACTCAGTATGGAAGAAGATAAGAGAAACTCATCCCACACTGGGAAAATGTCAGTGTAGCAGTGAGCAGAAGCAATAAAAAGAATCCAAAAACAAGATAAATAAAACAGAATAGCATTATTACAGAATAACAATTACTGATCATATTTTTTGCTCATGAAAATCTATTCAAAGTGACAAAGGACACAAGCCTTTTTGAAAATGCTTAGCGTAATATCTAAGTTGGTTGTGTTCACAAGTAATACCTCGCAAAGAGCCCGAAAAATATGTTGATGCTATTAACCAGGAGACATAATTAGGTCAAAGTTTGATCTGATTGAATCCTGAATGACTCTTTTTCTGCTTACTAAGTTATAGTTGGCAATACCTAAAAAAGGAGTAAGAGCAACTGCAAGTTTGAACATTTTATTGAGCAAATTAAATGTAATAATCTGATACTCCTGTGTTGGATGACAAACTCTGAAGAGAAGTTAATGAAAGATTGCACGGTTCTGGCAATGCAACGTTTTTATACAATATCTAGACATGATATCTAGGTTAAAAAACTGGGAAGTTTATGGGCTGTTCTCAAAATGAAGTCTACTATGAATCTCATCTTCGCCTGTGGTCCCGTTTGGGACATAGGCCGCCGACCAGCTTCCTCCAGGCATCTCGGTTCTGGGCGAGTCTCTCCAGCTGCCCCCACGTCTTTCCCATCTGCTTGACATCTGCGTCCAGATCTCGGCGCCAGGTGTTTCTAGGTCGCCCTCTCTTCCTCTTTCCTTGAGGATTCCAGGTGAGAGATTGTCTAGTTATACTGGACGCGGACTTGCGGAGGGTGTGACCTATCCATCGCCAGCGTCTCTGAAGGATAGCTTCGTCAACGGGCTGCTGGTTCGTTTTCGTCCATAATTCTTCATTGGATATCTTTTCTGGCCATCGGATTTTGAGGATCTTCCTGAGGCAGGAGTTAATGAAGACCTGGATTCTCTTTATGGTGACCACAGTGGTTCTCCAGGTCTCTGCTCCATAGAGGAGTATTGGCTTCACGATGGTATTGAAGAGCCTGATCTTGGTGGTGATGCTAATTGTGCTGGATCCCCAGATATTCTTCAGCTGTTGGAAGGCTGTTCGCGCTTTACCGATGCGGGTTCTGACATCTTCATCCGTTCCCCCATATTTATCCAGGATGCTGCCGAGATATGTAAAGCTGTCTACCTCCTCCAGCGCCTCGCCTTGGACTGTAATGGGTGTGTTGTTGGATGCATTGATCTTAAACACCTTGCTCTTCCCTCTGTTGATGTGGAGGCCCAGTCTAGCGGAGTTGTTTGCTACCCTGCTGGTCTTTTCCTGCATCTGTTGATGGGTGTGGGAGAGAAGGGCCAAATCGTCAGCAAAGTCTAGATCATCTAACTGTTCCCAGAGTGTCCACTGGATTCCATTTCGCATCTGGTTCGTCGATGTCTTCATTACCCAGTCTATGGCCAGCAAGAATAGGCAAGGTGAGAGTAAGCAGCCTTGCCTCACTCCGGTTCTCACTCCAAAGGCGTCAGTGAGCTGTCTGCCATGGACGATTCTACAGGTCATCCCTTCGTAAGATTTCCTGATGATGTTGGTGATCTTTTCTGGCACACCGTAGTGTCTCAGTAGTTTCCATAGGGATTGCCGGTCCACGCTGTCGAACGCTTTTTCGTAGTCGATGAAGTTGACGTACATGGGCGAATTCCATTCCAAGGATTGTTCCAGAATGATGCGCAGGGTTGCGATCTGGTCCGTGCACGATCTCTCTTTTCGGAAGCCGGCTTGTTGGTCTACTATGAATGGCAGTGTGTTTTAACAGTGTGCACTGTCAATGCATGTTGATGATCAAACATCACCTGATTGGTCAAAATAATGTAAAAAGAAAATAGTGTGAGATTAGCGGTTATTTGAGTTTCAATAAAATAAGGTGACTTTGCCATCCTAATAAAGGCTACAAGATTTCTTTATATCAGTTTCAGCTGGTGATGCGGCTGATTGTAGTTAAAATAAAAAATGTGTGCCATGGTTCAAAAAGGTCGGGGAACAGTGCAATATATATTCTCACTGTAAAACATTTCATTGTAGAAAAACGGTAAAAAGCTGGCAAATATGGTTCCAGGGATTTACAGTTTTGTCAACATGGCATTACCGTTGCTAATTTTAATGGTTAAAGACTATTTCACTGAATCACATTTTGCCTTTGTGATCAGGATTTAACTGTATGTTCCTGTTAATTCACATTCAACAAAAACAGCTTTATAATGTTAATTTTGTATTATTACACCAAATGACTGTTTCTGTTTCTAATTAGTTTCACTGAACAAAAAACTACACAGTTTAATTTGATTTCCTCTAATGAACACAACTTTTCAATTATTTTTTTACATCTTCAGTTTATACAAGATAATAGGTGAAATCTTTACTTCTGTAACATGTCTAACACAAGAAAATAGTAGAAGTAGATTGCGATTTTATGGTAGTGTAACGTTTTTTGTAATCACACGCCACTGGATGTTTTTTAACCAATTTAGAAATTTAGAAATGTCATTGTAATTTTACAGAAATTTGTTATAATGCTTGGTTGGCCATAACATGTGAATATTCTTACTATTTACACAGAGTCTAATTATTTTAGGGAAACCCTAACTCTGTTTGTAGATGCTTTAGAATACATAATGAAAATAGGCAAGTACGTCTATAAGTATTTTAGTTTGAAAGTGAAAAGGCCTGACCTTGGTAGTGGTGTATGAGGGCCTGCTGCACGGCGGGGGTGATGAGGGCCTGGGGCAGTTCTCGGAGGTACAGCTTCAGCAGACTGGCCACAGCAGAGACGTCAGCCTCCTGCCCAAGCTCCTCCATGTCCTCCTCCATGTCCTCCCGGTCCAGCCGCTGCCTCAGGAGCTCCACAGCGCGGACATTCCCGTTCACACGGAACAGCCCCTCCTGAGTCACACCTGAGCACACCCAGACAGAACCAGGTAAGACATCATGAACAAACCCGTAGAAAAGCGTCTGTGACACGTGTAGCTGAATAACCACGGTCTGGAGGTGAAGGGCCTGGAGCGGGAAACACGTGCCAGTGATAGCCACATTTGGTACACATACATTATGAATATTAACAAACTAAATATAAATGTTCAGGATATGCTTAATTAGTATGTGTCTGATGTCCCCCTATGTCTTATAAAATGCTGAATTGTTCTAAAAAATGTAAGTGAAATATCTTACCTCTCATTTAACAATATGGCACCTTGTACGCGTTTACGATACAAAGTTTTAATGCTAAAGTTTTAATTAAAACACATACAGACAATTAATAATATCGAAACAGACACACACTCAGTTTTATGTTAGAGATACACTTCCACGTGGCAGAAATCTCCTTTAGAGTACTGACATCTTGTGGTCCTGCTCAGGACTGCAGCCTTATGTGTCAGCTTTTTTTCTCTGACCACACATTCTACATTTAAAGCCCAACATATTATAGGAAAATTAACATTTAGTCCGTATTTTAAACTGCTTTATAGCAGTCTGGTTTGTTTGCAAATTCTCTCAGACCTAGGACAGAATCAGATATAACCTTGTTGAGGTGCGACTTTTTTGAAAGTCTCAAGGACCTAGCAAGAATTTGACCATATATCCAGGTCAAGTCCCAAGTATTAATACAATAAACAGCAAAAATACACTGTGAAGATCAAGGTCAAGACTATCCTGTCTATGTAGAAAATACCATTGTAAAGTCAAATCAAAACAACTTGACGATAATCCATTGATAAATAAATTGTTATGCAATTATGCACAGCTAAATGCCATTGCTAAGGTCTTCAAACTGCTCAACTTACTATTTGTAGGTAGATCTACATATTTAATTTCTTACCGTGAGTGCGGAGATGCTCGACCATTCTCCTAACCACAAGAGGCAGCCCATCCTTCAGTAACCCTTGCTCTTGCAGTTCGCTCAGAGACTTCCCGAACACTCTGGCCTGCTTGTTGACCGTACCTCTGGGTTTCAGAATGGGGATCTGAACCATCTTCAACATGTCTTCTTTCACCTTCACCGCTGCCTTATTGTGCTGTGGAGAACATGTAGACAGATCAGCTGCTTTGTCCACAAGGCTGGTGCAAACCGCTGCCCCAGACATGTTCCCCTCTGCCCAGTACGCAAGAAGATGACAACTGTAATGTCTCATAGGAATCCATAATTTACACCTCCTGCAGTCGCACTAAAGAGGACGGCATGTGTGAAGAACTCAAAGTAGGAGTGAAGTGCCGACTGTGCTCTTGTTGCTACGACAAATATCAGGTTACCATGCAACACCTGTGGGTAAAGGCATGGCTTGTGCTGCAGATCCACCTGTGCAAAGAGACATCAGGGCCTATGGCTTTAGCGTACTGAATAAATTATATACAAACTATTATAATAACACAAGCAATATAAAATTTAAATATGTACGTAGATACTGCAAATTATACTGTCTGTACTTTAAGGAGAAAAGTAGTTTTGCAGAAATGGTTAATTAAACCACTACATATGTGGTTTTACTGCAAATGGCAAATAAATGAATCTGAATATGAGTTTTATGTAGGGTTGTCCTAAACTTCATTTAGTCATTCACACTAAGGGAGGGGCTGTGTGAGACCATAATATTATATTTACATAATTAACCCTCTGCAGGCAAGCGTTGCATATTTGCAAACAATGTGATCTCTTACTACCAAACTACTCCACATTCATATTTTTGACACTTTTTTTACTCAGAAGTACCACTGCTGGACTCAGTTGAGCTTTAGCAACTCACAGTTTTCCACCTGCTCACCAGGGGACGCAGCTGTCTCACTTTCACGACCAACCTCTAATAATATCAAACCAAAACTGCATAAAATTAAAGATGAATGTACATTGATACAGTATATGCAAATCAGTAGATTATATCTCCTCTGGCTCTATTTACCACAGTGAGACAATGTTGCAAATCTGCAACATCCCAGAATTATTTGCCTGGAAGCTCTCTCTCTTTCAGTAAAGTCAAGATTATATATAACTACCCCATATGATAATTTCCCCAAAATATCAGATTTATCCAGTCATTCAAATTTAATTGGGCCCTGAAAAGGTTAAACATGTGTACATAATTTCACTGAGCCAATATTTAAATGTGCATGAGCTACAAAAATAAAATGCTTACTGGGACAGAAAGTGTATTCAAGAATGTTTTGCTTTCCACGTTGGAACAAACTGAGATCTGCATGCACCCACTCCACTCTACTCTGACAATGTTTAAAACCAGGTTAAAAACAGTTCTGTTTAGCTGTGCATACAACTGAGGGGTTTCATATTTTTATATTTCTTTTTAATGTACTGTGATTATTTATGCCTTGCCTTGCCTTACACAATACACACACACATTATCTTTTTAAAGTAAACACTGCCACACGTCACCCTTCTGTTGAACAAATATAAAACCCATTTATGCATGCTAACACCTAAACGATAAGAAAACATTTAGTAATGATGGGGGTCTAGGAAAGATTTTTCAACATATTGCTTGACAAGTTGACAGGATCCGGAATGCCATTTCCAGTCATTTCCTGTAAAGTTTGCCCCCTGTTTCCATAGTTACAGGCACACCATGTGACATTCTGTAGTGCACTACTTCAAATAGACAGTATATAGCTTCAAACGCATGAAGTGACCCATGCAGTGGACGAGGGGGCCCTCTATGATCGCACTACAAAAGGACCAAGTGGCACAGTGGATTTACTGTTTAAAGCTAGTGACCACTGAACAAAGGGAACATTTTGTCTTAACACACACTTCTACCTCTTATATTTGATTGAGTTTGGGTCAGCTGATGAAACTCTTTTCACCGATGGTGCTGAGATGGCTAAACTAGACAAGATCTGACAATAACAGATGCTCTGGCTCTGTTCATTCACAAGACCTCTGCACTCTAATCAAAACAAAAGAAACAATTTCATGATTTCCTGTTGTTTGTACTGGACTTGTTGTCAAGATGAAATCATATTACTCAAGGATGTACTATATTGTTGTAGTATACTGCAGTATATTGTGAATGTTTGGATTCAGTCGGGAATATTTTACTGTTTTTTTATATAAATTTAGCCTAACACTTTTAGGCAAATTAATACTATACTATAATGCCATTGCTAATTATTTAAGCTGGTCTGAGCTTAGTCTTAGTCTCTATGTCTTCAGCAGATGTCGGTGAAATCAGATTAAAACGGGAAACAGGAAAATAGTCCATTATATAAGATAAGAGCTCCTTTATTCATTGCACAGTGGGGAAAAATCTATGTTGCAGAGCACAGACAGGACAGTAGTAAGAGCACACAGGGAGCACACAAAATATAGCTAGCTGTAAATGCATTAATACCAGTGTTTAAAAAAAAAGAAATGTAGTGCAGAGTGATATAATGTACATATAGGGCAGGATAATTAGTAGATAAAGTAAAGTGACTTTGTTCAGTGGACACTCTGAAATTGCAGTATTGCACATTGCACATGATTGCAGTATATGTAGTGTCTATTCAGTATAAGCTGACTTAAAACAAGTTGTCACCCTCAAATTTAAAAAGGGAAGACACCATTTGCATTTGACTGGGAATTTACACATTCACACATTGAAAAGGAGGAAACCTATTATTGCCTATTGTTTGCTGAGACAGTGCGTTGTGATTTAAGCCTTTCCCTTCTCTCATCTATTCTCCACCCATTTCAAAACCATTGACAGCTTAATAAAAAAGATATATGACAGCTACTAACATTAAGTAAGTCTGTTTCCTAGTTTTTGCGAGTTTGTAAATATAATTCAAAAGAAGCAAGCAGAGCATGAGACATTTGTTTTGGTTTTAGCGGCGGGAACTGCAAGCCCCAGCATGTAGCATTAGTCTCTGCTCATCTCCTCTTCTTTAACAACTGCTTGTGTCTACTTCAACAACTTCACACAACAGCTGCAATGCATTCTCGAACTGCTTTTTATTTAAGTTACAATGACAAGAAGCAACTCAAGTTATAGGACACTAAAGTACTGTGTTTAGGTTTGTATTGCCCTTCTTGCTGTATAGTTGGTGATGTCATAGTGACTCACTTGGAAAAAATAACAAGGAATTATCCCAAATAATACATTGACAGTGTTAAATGAATGAGGTGTTCAATAGTTGACATGGTCCTGCTTGTGTGTACATGATTGTAATGACACTGGAAGTCATGAAGTCAAAGTTACTAAAACTTGTGAAGATACCACGGTGAGAAATGTATAACCAGATCTTCAGTTCTCCATTTTTCAGTCATTGTTTCAATGGGAAATTCTTGTGCTCCAACTTGAAAAGGGATTCTATTACTTACACAGATGGTCAGAGCTCCTGCCCCCATTCTTTTAGTGAAGAAAAGCAGCAGAGATGTTGTTAAAGTCCTCCTCCTGCTCTTATTTCCCCTCCTATTCCTCTTCAGAAGTCTTCTGCCCAAAATCCCTTTTAGAAGCTCCACAGATTCTCCACGACAGAACCGGAGAAGGAAGCAGCACCGGCAGTGGGCTGCAGAGTTGCCGGGTGGGCTTCTGCTGCCTGCCCATGGGGCAAAGAGATTTAGTGCTGGTCTCTTTTTCTTCTCTCCCCCTTCTCCTCTCTCTCCTCCTCCTGTGCTGAAATCTGAGCCAGGAACTCGGATTGGCCAAAGAAGGGGTCATGTGATCAGGGGATTCATTTATGCCCTAAACTTTAAAATGCGTTGCCTGCAGGATCTGACTGTGCATGACGGAGAGGAAATAGTTGAATAGTTAGAAAAAGCAGCAAAAAGCTAAGAAGCTGTAAGACTGATGTAGGTTACGTATTACTACGTATTATTACGTTCTACTTTTATAAAGAGATATCTAGATAACAACGCAAAAAGAGCCTGAACAAACAAGCACAAACCACATACTTTTTACAATAAATAAATAAAGATTACAATGTTATATGGACTTTAAGAGGTTAGCCTTGCTTTCAAGTTCATTAATACAGGTTTGAAGTGGTAAGCCATGTACTATTGTTCAGTACTATTGAAATTATTATAACCCTATTCTAAATTTCAGTCAAAATTAAGATTGCAGTTTCAACAGCATAGACACATGAGAAATGGAATGATGGGAAATAATTCATTATGTTATTATACATTATTTTATGTATAATCAAGTAGATAGAAAAAAACAAAAAAAACTAAACTACGGAATTTAAGAACAAAGCCAATTTAAAACATGAAACAAAATTATTCAAGGATTTCCTACAGAACAATGATGCATAAAACGGGAGGCTGAAGATGCCTGATAATGTATTTATTCCACATCATAATTATGGTTACTTACAGATTTAAAACTCACATACATAATTGTATCAGTTATCCTTGCCCACAGTATAGTAAATTATAGCATTAATTAAAATATACTTTTATAGGATAGAAAAAATTCACAGTGTAGTATCTCTGCATCCCCCACAATGGTATCTGGAAACATGGATATTCGCTTGCTAAGTTTTGGTTGCTGGCACTTGAAAACATGACCAATAATTGTTACATTAATGAATATCTTTTTTAATGGCTCATCACATGAGCTAGTCAAACTGTATACTTTTCTCAAACATGAACTTCTTGATGTGTTGCTCTATCCAGTCGCTGAAGGCTGACACGCGGGTGAATACCGAAGGCTTCTTGTCTTTGATGCAGCCCTGAGCACCAAAGCTGACAATGCCATGGACTTCCCATGGTGAGCCAGCAGATTCACAGGCAAAAGGACCCCCCGAGTCACCCTGCGGACCAATGCAGAGGGGGACAACATGTGAAGACAGGACTGGACAGAGGCGAGTGCTTTAAACCCAACTAAATGAGCAACTGAAGATTTCACATCTTATTTACACCATTTATTTTACACTATTCGCAAACCCTAACCCTATTCCTAATCCTTGCTAACCCTCCCTCCATCAGAGCTGGAGTTGGCTGAATGAGCAGCCATCAGTGTTGTGCCAGTTCACAACTTTTCTGAACTAGTTCAAGTTCAGTTCATACATGCTCAAAGTGAACAGTTCACGTTCAAAGTTCACAATTTTAATTCTGAACTAGTTCAAAGTTCAGTTCATTTTACTTTTTTCGTGAAATAGTCAAATAAATACTTTTTTTTACACTACGAGCTATATATATATATATATATATATATATATATATATATATATATATCCTGTACACCCACAGGAGAGCCTTTTGACTACAAAACAAACCAGATTTACATGGTTTTCAATGGGAGCCAAACGGAGTTGCCCCATCTCTGCTCATAAACTACAGACAGTAATGCGCTGCAGTGCGTGTGTCTATACTTTATGTCAAATGTTTCTCTCGTTGCGTTTCAAAAGAGAAAACAGATTCCAACGTTCATAGAGATGTCTGCCGTTCATGACACATAAAATTAACTAATTCACGTTCAAGTTCTTTTTTTAAAAATGTGTTGCGTTCAGTTCAACGTTCACGAAAAAATGAGCGTGTTCAATGAACGCGTTCTTTTGAACTCGTTCACGCACAACACTGGCAGCCATAGCCAGAAATTTTTGATAGTATCCAAGCCAAATGTCAGTATAGAGAAATAACCACTGTTTGTACTTGCATTGTCTTTTTTGAATACTTGATTAACTGGTGAATGGTCAGAAAGCCTGAATGTAATATTTTCACACTTTTTTTGTATTATTTTTGTACTTTTAAAGGAATTTACATTTTACTGAAAGTTATTGTTTCAGGATTGTTCTTCCTAATGTATGTTACTGTATTAAGACAATACATTTGATTTAAAGAAACGGGTTAGGGTAAGAACTGGCACATTTGTCAAATTATTCAGACAATGTTAGATTTGTCTTCCTACTTACTGTCTTTCGTTTTACTTAAAGACCATGTAACTGCTGTTTTACTGTCAGTAGTGGTCTATGATATGGTGTATTTTTTTCAGTGTAATGTCAAGCCATGGTTGCCATAAATCATTATATTTCACAACATTGAATATCTTTTTTGAAGTTGTCAAACTATACATTTTCTACTTTTAATTCTCTGCAGATTTCAAAATAGTATTTAAAATATTCACATCATTCACAGTGTGCATTTGTGTCCTTTGACAATAGAGTATTTTATCCTTCTAATTATTACAGCTAACTGGGGTGCAATGTACAACCAAGGCTGACCGATCACAAACAAACAACTCTGCAGAGTGTCCCAGCATTTGGTCCTTTCAAATACAACAAGCAGCTCCGAAAAATCCTTCCAACTGTTGTTATTTATGTAGTGTGTACAGAGGCTTTGTTTTACCTGGCAGGCCGACTTCAGCTCATCAGGAGATCCATATCCTGCACAGATCATAGAGGGCCGCAGTGTGTCCCACCAGTACGCTGGCTTACTGCAGGTGGGGAAGTCAATGATGGGAAGAGCTGCCTGGTTCAGCTTCTCAGACACTTTGGGAGGGAAGCTTCCTGAAATCAGATCCAAAACTAGTGTTTTAATCTCTGCTTTTGATAATAAATTCTAGTGACTCTACCAGCAAAAAATAATTTCTAATTAGTGTAATTTTTTGTTCTCAAGTGCAGCTGAATAAAAACTTTGTCAACTAAATTAAAATTAATACATTCATTAGTACATACTATTAATACTTTAGGGTTAGTTTTAGTTTTCACTAAGCCCCATAAAGTTCTGTAGATCAACACTCTTCACTTTTCATTCACTCAAAACTCTGTGGTAACGGAATCAAAGTCTGTGCCATCGGCCCCTCCAACCACCATCATCATTCACTCATTCACTAAATTCATACTTTTGAATGTTTTGGGTGTATGTTTTTGTATTTTGGTCTAATTTAAAAGGAAAACAAATACATTCTTTGGTACAAAGTGTGGTTTCATAATAGAGAGGCGTGAGGGATCTATGCTGTTCTCCAGACTTTAGAAAACCGCTGACACAGAGAACATTTGATTATTGATTACTACATCTGTCTTTAATTGTCTGTCCTTGAATTTCCAAATACCTTTTTCATCACCCCAGCCTGTGACGAAGCAGGGCGTCCCGGCGGGCATAACAGCCCCAGGTTTGGGAAGACAGATGGGGCTAATCTCTGTGGTCATGTTGACTTTTTCAGACAAATGAACGAGGGCAATGTCGTTGGTGATGTCCGTTTTGTCCTGTTCATAGACAAAGCCTTCATGCCGAATGATGCTGTCCACCATATAACAGGCCTCTGCTGACGGGACGTCCGCTGAAGACTTCATGTGGTGCTTCCCCAAGCACATTCGCCAGTAGGAGGGCTTGTTCAGAGGTCTACAGTTGATAAAAGTGAGCATACAACATTTTATTATAATGTGATGAAAAGAGGACTGGGCGGCAGTCGAAGGCGGAGACCTCGGCGACCCAGTCCGCACACACAACATCTGGCTCTTGGGACGTGGAACGTCACCTCACTGGGGGGGAAGGAGCCCGAGCTCGTGGGGGAGGTTGAGCGATACCGACTAGAGATAGTCGGCCTCACCTCCACACACAGCTTGGGCTCTGGAACCCAACTCCTTGAGAGGGGTTGGACGCTCCACTTTTCTGGAGTTTCCCGCGGGGAGAGGCGGCGAGCTGGGGTGGCCATACTCATTGCCCCCCATCTCAGCCGCCACGTGTTGGAGTTCTCCCCGGTGAATGAGAGGGTCGCGTCCCTCCGCCTCCGGGTGGGGGACAAGTCTCTCATTGTTGTGACGGCCTACGGGCCTAACAGCAGTGTAGAGTACCCGGCCTTCTTGGAGTCCTTGGGAGGGGTACTGGACGGTGCACCGCCCGGGGACTCCGTTATTCTCCTGGGGGACTTCAACGCCCATGTGGGAAACGCCAGTGACACTTGGAGAGGGGTGATCGGGAAGAACGGCCCCCCTGATCTGAACCCGAGCGGTGCTCAGTTGTTGGACTTCTGTGCCAGTCACGGTTTGTCCATCACGAACACCATGTTCGAGCACAAGGGTGTCCACCAGTGCATGTGGCACCAGGACACCCTAGGCCGGAGGTCGATGATCGACTTTGTTGTCGTATCATCTGACCTTCGACCGCGTGTCTCGGACACTCGGGTAAGGAGAGGGGCGGAGCTGTCAACCGATCATCACCTGGTCGTGAGTTGGATCCGCTGGCAGGGGAAGAAGCCGGTCAGACCTGGCAGACCCAAGCGTATAGTGAGGGTCTGCTGGGAACGTCTCGCTGAGCCCCCTGTCAGACGGACTTTCAACTCACACCTCCGGGAGAGTTTCTCCCAGGTCCCGGCGGAGGAGGGGGACATGGAGTCCGAGTGGACCATGTTCTCTGCCTCAATCGCCGATGCGGCGGCTCGTAGCTGTGGTCGCAAGGTCTCTGGTGCTGGTCCCGGCGGCAACCCCCGAACCCGGTGGTGGACACCGGCAGTAAGGGATGCTGTCAGGCTGAAGAAGGAGTCCTATCGAGCCATGATGGTTCGGGGAACTCCTGAGGCAGCTGTCCAGTACCGGCAGGCCAAGCGTGCCGCGGCCCGGGCTGTTGCAGAGGCAAAAACCCGGGACTGGGAGGAGTTTGGAGAGTCCATGGAGCATGACTATCGGTCGGCCTCGAAGAGATTCTGGCAAACCATCCGGCGCCTCAGGAGGGGGAAGCAGTTCTTTGCCAACACCATGTACGGTGCGGGTGGAGAGCTGCTGACCTCGACTGGGGATATTGTCGGGCGGTGGAAGGTTCTCCTCAATCCCCCCGTCACGTCCTCCGTTACAGAGGCAGAGGCTGAGGATGTTGGGGCGGGTACATCCATCTCCCTGGCTGAGGTCACCAAGGTGGTTGGCTCCATGGTGGCAAGGCTCCGGGTGTGGATGAGATCCGCCCTGATTATCTAAAGTCTCTGGATGTTGTAGGACTGTCTTGGCTGACACGTCTCTGCAACATCGCGTGGCGATCGGGGGCAGTGCCAATGGAGTGGCAGACCGGGGTGGTGGTCCCTCTCTACAAGAAGGGGGACCGGAGGGTGTGTTCCAATTATCGTGGGATCACACTCCTCAGCCTCCCCGGTAAGGTCTACTCCAAGGTACTGGAGAGGAGGTTACGGCCGATGGTCGAATCTCGGATCCAGGAGGAGCAGTGTGGTTTTCGTCCCGGTCGCGGAACACTGGACCAGCTCTATACTCTCCATCGGATACTCAAGGGTTCATGGGGACTGTGTCCCCCGGGGTGTCCTTTGGGGGGTTCTCCGGGAGTACGGGGTCGGAGGTCCTCTGCTGAGGGCCATCCGATCCCTGTATGACCGGAGCCAGAGCTGTGTTCGCATTGCCGGCAGTAAGTCAGACCTGTTCCCGGTGAATGTTGGCCTCCGACAGGGCTGCCCTTTGTCACCGGTTCTGTTCACTGTATTTATGGACAGAATATCTAGGCGCAGCCAGGGGTCGGAGGGGGTCCGGTTCGGAGACCACGGGATTTCATCTCTGCTGTTTGCGGACGATGTTGTCCTGTTGGCTCCAACGAACCAGGACCTGCAGCATGCACTGGGACGGTTTGCAGCCGAGTGTGAAGCGGCTGGGATGAGAATCAGCACCTCCAAATCCGAGGCCATGGTGCTCGACCGGAAAAAGGTGCCTTGCCCTCTGCAGGTGGGTGGAGAGGTCCTTCCTCAAGTGGAGGAGTTCAAGTATCTCGGGGTCTTGTTCACGAGTGAGGGAAGAATGGAGCGTGAGATTGACAGGCGGATCGGTGCAGCGTGCGCAGTTATGCGGTCGCTGTATCGGACCGTTGTGGTGAAGAGGGAGCTGAGCCGAAAGGCAAAGCTCTCGATTTACCGGTCAATCTTCGTTCCCTCCCTCACCTATGGTCATGAGCTTTGGGTAATGACCGAAAGAACGAGATCGCGGATACAAGCGGTCGAAATGAGCTTCCTCCGCAGAGTGGCTGGGCGGTCCCTTAGAGATAGGGTGAGGAGCTCAGCCACACGGGAGGAGCTCGGAGTAGAACCGCTGCTTCTCCACGTCGAGAGGAACCAGTTGAGGTGGCTCGGGCATCTGTTCCGGATGCCTCCTGGACGCCTCCCTGGGGAGGTGTTCCGGGCACGTCCCACCGGGAGGAGACCTCGCGGAAGACCCAGGACACGCTGGAGGGACTATGTCTCTCAGCTGGCCTGGGAACGCCTTGGGGTCCCCCCGGACGAGCTGGAGGAAGTGTGTGTGGATAGGGAAGTCTGGGCGTCTCTGCTTAGACTGCTGCCCCCGCGACCCGACAACGGATAAAGCGGAAGAAAATGGATGGATGGATGGATGGATGATGAAATATTATTTTTTTGAATACAAAAAGCTTGTTTGAGCTTCAGAGATGAGACAGGCAAAGAAGTTAAGAATTAAGTAGGTTTTTGTTTGTACATACGGGTTGTTTGACTTAAAAGAAGCATTTTCTCTTTTAATGATGTTACAACATTTTTCCCTTATAAAAACAGACCTGGAGTGGTTTTTAGATTGACTCAGTCCCGTCCCGGATGCTCAGAGCAGTTTGACACTTGAAAACAAAAGTATTACCCATAAATTCGTTTATCACATGGTTGTATTTTTAGCTATTTTTTTTAGTAGTAGACTATTTACTAAATAATATCTAAATAATTTCTCCTCTTAAGATATTATTTAGTAAATAGTCTCATTATCATTTTTAAGACCAAAAATAATTCATAATATATCCTCTTAAAAGGAAAAGGAGGTATGAAAAATCTTTTATTTTGTTTATACCAATGTTACAACATTGTATTGTCATATATACAAACCTGGAGTTATTTTTAGCTCAATCCACGCTAATGTCAATAACTTCTGGCGCAAACACAAGCCTCCACCTTACAAGACGTAGTTTTGCTCAAAGCCGTCTTCTTTTAAATCAAAGGTATTGCATATTATCGTACTTTGTTTTGTTAATGTCTACTTTCAAATTGCGTTATTTATAAACTGCATAGCATTAATTGTGGCATGTCAAGCTTATTGTTGACAAAATAATAACATTAATGAAACGGGTAGAAGTGGGAATTAAATCCATATGTTTTACTTAAACTATTCTCAAATTAAATATTTACAAAATTGTATATCATGCAGAATATTTTTTATAGAATATAGTTGTGTGATCGGTGGATGTGGAAGTGCATCTTTTAGTTGATAGTTGTAGATAAATCTTACTGCATAAAACAATGTGCAGCTGTAAGAATCCATTCTTCATGAATCAGAGACCCTCCACAGCCATGCATGTAGAAAGGAGGCAAAGGGGAGGCCTGGAAATGACATGTTATTTAAGCACATAGACTTTCAATTTGGTCATGACGTGTCTAGGCTTTATGACATTGAGAGAAAAACCCATTAAGCAAGATGGACAGAATGAGGTGAGACTTAAATTATTTTAAAACACGTTTCTTCACTTGAGTTACCACCTAAATGATTTAATATGCACTGCATATACATTGCAGGAGTTTGCTCTTAACATGTCTAATTTATTTCCCTTGTTTTGGCTATGTTATGTCAACGACTAGCGCAGTTTTCAACAGCTCAGTCTCAGACCTGAAGCCACTTTGTGAGGACTTAATTGTGATTAATACAAGAAAAATGAAGTAAATGAATGAGCACAGATTACAACGATGTTGCGGTTGAGAAATAAGAGAGCCTGAAAATGTTTCTATATTAAAGCTGGGGTACTACACTTTTTTCATATTTATTATGTTTGCCCCAACAGAAAGAGTCAAAAGTTGTTCAATGCTTTCTTTGTTGTATTAGAAAACCTGCTATCTTTTACAGGAGTCAGTTTTTGACTTCGGGCTCAGAGTTCAGTGAGTGTGGTAACCTCTTTTTTTACTTTTCTGTCTGAAAATATAGAACTGTTTGAGAGTGAATGGGTTGCATATTTCTGTATAGTATTTCATAATACAGAATATCTGTATAATACATAATACTATATCTGTATTATAGTTCAATGTATATGGTTTGAAAGTTAGTTTGATTCAGCTATATGCGTTTTTTAATGCGTTTTTTAATCTAATGCTACACAACATTATAACTGGTAAAAGACATACAACTCCAGACAATTATCCTGGGGCTGAAAAGTGGGCAAAACGGCTCTTTTAATAACAAAGGTTACAGACCCCTGACTTAAATCTAGTGTATACATACATTTTTGCTCAATATTACATGGCTATTTATTGATTGTATGCAGAAACTAAAAAGGCAGCTTACCTGCATGGAAACTTGCCAGGGCCACGAATGACGCACTGCTTCCACTCCGTTGACGACCCTCAGAGTGGCATTACTTGGTTTGATCGCAGGATGCCCACAATCTTCAGGCCAGGCTTGAAGATAGTATATCATTTTAGGTTTATATACTGTATTTATACATGTTATGCAGTGAGATATAATACACAAATAATAGCCCTTTGATTTGATTTGATGAAAAATATTAAAACAATATTTTTAAACATACTGATAGTTATGTTGTCCCAGGGGTTAGGGGGTGGTGGAGGAATTGTTGGAACAATGTCAGGATTGGTGGTCCAGTATCCACGGAAACCGCTCTGATGATTGACTCCATTACTGACGAAGCGAATGAGGACACTGTTAGCGGTGACAGTAATGGCTTTTGGAGGGGAAAATCCACAGAAGCGACCTGCGTAATGAGAAGCAAAGCCCCTTTGTAGCAGCGAAACAACCACTGACCTCAACAGAACATGCATTCAGCTGAAGTACCAAAACTGACCAAGAGATGTCATTGTTGCTCCATTGAAAATCTCCACATAGTCCACACAGTTGCCAAGCACGTTCACAGCTTGCAATTCAAAGTGCGTGAATGCCACATGGAATCTTGTGGCGCTGGGGTTTTTGACAGTCCATGTGCAAACAGACTGGCCTGCATAGTCATTGGGCCAGTTCGGAGACTTTAGTTCTCCCTGTTCAGAGCTGAAGCTGCCTCCACATGGTGCTAAGCCAATAGGAGAAGAAAAAAAAAACAAGAATTAGGTTGTTGTTTATATTTTGTAGTCCATGTTTGTGGGATTTAAGCTGTATCATTCATAAACCATCTGAAGCCTTACCTTGTGAAGGATCCACAGCTTTATAGGTGGCAAAGAAACCTGTATCCACTATTTTGCCATTAGAGGAAAAGCTAAGGTGCAGCGTATTACCAAAACTGACCAAGTCGTGAGGGGCGACATGGCTGCAATGAGTTCCTGAGGAAAACAGAGACAACTTTAGACTTTCATTTTAGTATTGCATCATTTTATTTTGCTTATTCACCACTAACAATGAAAGTGTTTATGTTATAACTAATAATCCAAACCATTGATTATTATTACACATTAGTTACAAGATTCGTATTAAAAACATATCTTGAATGAGTCAGTTTTGGAATGAACATTAAAATAATCAGATGTTTTCTGTCATTACAATGAACTAAGATCTACAATGCTTGGAGCCAGTTAGCAAAAATATAAACAAGTTTTGTGCTGTTCAATCATTTGAGGCAAGATTACATCTCAATGTAAGAGCTTTGGGTCCTCCCCACTACAAACATCATAGTGAATCTTGTAAGTAATTCGTAATCTGGTTCTGGTTTTGTTTTTATCACTGAAACTTAATATACAACCTCTAAATGGATTTTGATGATGATAAAAAAATCTATGTGATTTTGACATTGTATACATTACATTGGTTTTCTCTCAGCCTAATTACTTTATAATTCTGAAAAAAGGTTACCTAGACTTCCCAGCTGGTCTGTGATGCTGACTTTGTCGCTCAAGCACCCTTCGCTCTCCTCCAGGGAGAAGTTGTGGAAGTGGAGATGGACCAGTTTGCCATCAGGCACCCTGATGTTCCACTGGCAGTCTGCTTTGTTGCTGTAGCTGCCAGGGAATCCCATAGAGGAGAGCGAGCCTGTGTCTCTCAGGTCCTTCGGCCCTCCACAGCCAGATACTTCACAGAAAACACAGAAGGTGAGTAAACAGTGACAAAAATTGGAATGCTAACGTTCATCTGTCATCATACTTTTCTCATTGTAAATGTCCCGCCGCATTACATTCTCGATCCAAGGAATGTAGGCCGAGGTGCGAGTAAAAACAGAGGGCTTTTTGTTCATAATGCATCCAATGGGACCAAAACTAGTGATGCCATGAACTTCCCAGTCACTTCCAGGTGCATCTTGGCACACCAGTGGGCCGCCGGAATCTCCCTGAAAAACATATTGAAAAACTTTTAAGATAGTGGTCTTGTTTTTATAATTCATAGACAAATGGTTTTGGTATTGAAATATAATAATGGGCCCTTATGGATTACTTGAAAGTTATTATTGGTAATGACATGTTTTTCCAGTAAATCACACATTTAGCTCTTTTATTATTTTATGCTTGAAATGCATGCAGATAATGGAGGTGTCTATCTGTTCTCGGTCTAATCATCATTCGGTCACAAAGTCTGAGAGTCTGAGCAAAGGAGCAGAAACTAAAACCGACCACACTGCTGCTTTTTACCTGACAAACTGACTGGAGCTCATCAGGTAGAGTATAACCACAGCAAATCATCGAATTCTTGACTTGAAACCACCAGTAGTCCATCCTTTTGCATGTGTCATACGGGACCACGGGCAGCGCAACTTGATTTAGGGTCTCAGAGGGTTTAGCATTGAGGGAATCACCTAAAACCAGGCAACAGATTACACTCTAAAACATATTCGTCATAAAACTATCAGTCCAATTGGTAGAACCATTATTGGTTGGGTTGACCAATATGTTAGTCAGGTTTAACAAAAGATTAGTTGGACAAATAACTACCAAAATTGAATAATTTACATTGAATAATGTGTATTTTTTCATTTATTTAAAGTAGGAATATGTAAGTTTTTCATGTCAAGTCATAATTAAATGGCCCTAATATGTCAAAAGGCATTAATAAACCGCGTTAGGCTAATCTCACTGGTAACGTAACATGTGGCCTCAAAACTAAAAAAGGCCCCTGTTATGATTCTCAAATCATCAATGACAAAACATTGGATATTTCTATTGGGGCCTTTGTGAAAAAGGTGCTGGTTGTCATGGTTTAGCTTTATTTCCTGTTTTATTTTGTAGTTTGTCATATCCCTGTGTCTGCTTTGGTTGCTCTTCCTGTTTCCTGATTCCTATTATTAGTTTACTTTGACAGGGACATTACACATTAATGAACATTTCTGTAAATGTGTCAGCATTAGCTGCAATGCTAGTTTTCAGCTGCTGTCCCTGGGCAAGGTGTATAATGCCAACAACAATTATTAAACAAAACAGTTTAAAAATTGAGGCTACAAACTTACATAACAAATGTTGATATAATTCATACATTGATAAAATCAGAATGTTCGTTCTGTTATTTGCACAATAGAAAGGGGATTTTTGTGCAAGGGCAGGTCGTACAGTTCAAACAAAAGACATTATTAGGATAAATGTGTACAGTTATTTGCAAGAAAACACCTGTGCAGAGGATCCTGATACTTGGATCAGTCCTGTACCAAGAGTTCTGTGTAGGGTCTAATGAGCACATCGCTGATTGGATTTCAACCAGTTTTTTTTATTGAGTCCTAAATGTTTTAAACGTGGGGCATTCTCTTATCGTGAGAGGGAGGCTGTTCCAGATGTTACATCCCCTGACTGAAAGAACAGTCTGCCCAAAGGTGGTATGTCTGAAGGGCACTTCACAGTCTCTTCTAACCATAGACCGGGTGGCTCTGCCAGAAGAGGATTTTAGCTTTATGAATTCCCTTAATGGCGGCGGTGGAAGTCCATTGAGTATTTTGTAAACCATACAAGCAAATTTATAGTATTTAAAATTTTCGAAGTTTAGGAGGTTGTACTTCTCAAGAATGCGACAGTGGTGGTATGAAACAGGTTTTCTGGCAAAACATTTTAAAGCTTTTTTATATAAAGATTCTATTTGCCTAAAAGTGGTTTCATTTGTAACAGACCATTTCGTAAAACAATATTCAATGTGTGAAAACACCATAGCATGCAGAAACATCCTGGCTGTTATAGAGACTGAATGTAATAGTTTTACAAATTTTCTTGACATGACTTTTGAATGTGAGAGTAGAGTCAAGACTCACAATTAGGCATCACAATTACCTGCCCTGCCCTCATGTGTATCACCTGTGTCCCGTTAGTCTTGTATTTAGCCCAGTGTGTTCCTTCACTCCCGGTTCCGTCATTGTCATTTCTCGTCCGTTTTAGTTCTGTCCTCGTTCCCTGTGTTTTTGGATTTGTTTTATCTTTTCATTAAATCCATTTTTTGCATCATTTAAGTTGTGAAAACCTAAATCATGTATTAATTGTCTAATAATGTCTAATAAAAAAACACATCTGTGGATTTGCTTTAATTTCTAAATACTGCTTGTATGGACAGTACCTGAGGGGGCCCTGGACCCCACGTTGATAAGCACTGTTCTAAACCATTCTGTAGAGCCTTGTAAACATGTGACTTATCTTGAGTCACCTGTTTCATCGCCCCAGCCTGTAGCATAGCACTTCTTTCCTCCAGGCAGAACCTCCTCAACTGAAGGCATGCAGGCGAAGGAAATCTCATTTGTGAGCTTAACTTCTCCATCCAGTCGGACCAGGGCAATATCAAACTCCACAGTGGGCACGGTTGGATACTTGAAGCCTTCATGGCGGTAGATGCCTGTCACGTTGAAGCAGTCCTCTGTGGATTCGGAGAAGGTCAAGTTGTGTTTGCCCAGGCACATGCGCCAGCGATGGAGCTCGTCGGCATAGCTGTGACAGGGTTGATTGGTGTCATATGGAGGTCACAATAGGATGAATTCACAGAACAACAGTAGTTCTATTATGGGAATCAAAAGGTTCTAGTGGGAATGTTCATATGCTTGAATAATTTTTCAAGTAGAATTTTGCCCACATTGAATTGTATTCAGGGTCTACTCACTTAATAAAGCAGTGGGCAGCTGTTAGCACCCATGTTGTGTGGATGAGTGTGCCGCCGCAGATGTGCGCATGCGTGGGTCGAGAATCTGGCAAAACCTTAAAAGAGAAAATTATGTTAATAATTTGGGTTTTGCTTTGTGATTTCTAATGTGAATGATGTCATTTAGTGAAAGTCCTTTCACCTGCATGGAGACTTGCCAGGGCCAGGAGTGGGGCTTGGCTGGCTCCCCGTTCACGATGCGTGTCACAATGGTAGGAGGGATTGTAGGTCTCCCACAACTTGGCCAGTCTGGGAAAACATAATTCGTTGTTTGGTGAAAGTAGCTTTTGACATTATAAAAGCACACCGACAAGTAATAAATGCCCTACTCGCGGCTGAGCTTTCATTCCCTTGAACCTGCTAAAGAAGTACAGATGATGGGTGAGAAACCTTTGTTTGAATAATCCCTGTACGACTGAGAGCTTACACAAATTATCCAACAATATTACATCGTAAATGCAGAATTTAAAATAGATGATCATCTCTTTATAACCGGTATAAACAGACATTGCATATGTTGTAGAGGTAAAACCACATTTTTGTTTGTATACCAGGAATTCCCTTATCTTTATATTAGACAAAGATTAGGTTGGATGTGTCTCATTATGAACAGCCAATCTCTGCTTGCATGGACAGAATCCCGTCAAGCCAGAGTTGTTCTATAACAGTGTCCTCAGTGACTCTTGGCTCTGCCCTTCGCCACCTGAGGCCCATCGCTGTGAGGAATAAGACTGTGTGACAGACAGTGAGCACCCGCCACTTCACGTTACCTCTTGAGCACAACAAACATGGTTTTACAACACGTCTCATGCACATGTATGGAGGTGTGAATGTGGTTAACTTAGGACCCGGTTAGTATACAGGTCCAAAGTTAACTTTGCATCTGTAGACTCAATAAGTAATGGAATCATTATATTATTTTTAAAACTTGAACCAACAAAAAATTCTGTGTAATATTTTCAGAGCATTAGTGGCTCATATTAGTAACAAATGAAGCCAACTGTACCGAGCAGGATTCCGTCCCAAGGGTTTGATGGTGCAGGTGGCTCTGTGGGAGGACGACTGCTGGGATTTGTAGTCCAATAAGCCCTGAACCCTTTAGCTTCAGTGAACAGGTCTGAATGGAAGCGTATGACAAGTCTATTTCCTTTAGTCTGGATTGGCACAGGCATCTTAGTCCCACAGAATGGTCCTTTACATGAAATAAATAATTAGTTTATAATAAATCATGTTGAATTTAGGAAATGTCAAAACTGATCTTACCAAATTTCTGAATCCTGTTAGTTAGTGTGTTGACATCGTAAATCATAATATTGTCATAACACTTTGAAGTAAATATGTCCTTTGCTTCGAGATCAAAGTGGGTGAAGTTGAAAAGGATTTTTTTCCCCAAAGGAAGCACTATGTTCCACATGCATTCAGAATTTCCTTTGTAGTTCATTGGCCAGTTTGTAGATTTTGTCACTCCATTTTCTTCTTTTGAGGTGAAGCCACAGCCCTGAATCTCTGAAACACAAAGTATGTATCGATTAGACTGTATTGGGTTATAGAGTAAATCACAGTTCATAAACCTTGTGTTTGTGGGAAATTGTTATATTCTCTTTGAAAGATTTGTTTTTGAATTAGTCTTTTGATCATTTAATTCCCTCAAGATTAGACTTGGCTGTGTGTTACTGCATACCCTTGTAATGTTCCTTGTGCACTGACTTTCTAACTTGTGCCGGTGGAGTGCTGTTTCTGGAGGGTCTCGGAAGGGCGCTGACCTGTTCCCACTGTAGCCCCCTCCGGTGAGAGGTGTCCTCTGAGCAGCTATTCCTGTGCTGTACTTATGTGCTGCTGGTTGTATGTGTACCTGTGATGTCCTCGGGATACACCGCCTCCCACTTGGCAGAGAAGCCTCGGTCTGTGAGGCGGCTGTCAGACTGGAAGCTGACAGAGATGCTGTCACTGGCACTGACCAACAGAGGGGGCAGCATGTATCCACAGTGAGTCCCTAAAACACACACAGAAGACTGAGATAAGACAATATTGTGTGCTCTGGACCATACACTTGTTTTCCTTTATTTGGAAAAGGAAAACTACTACTGAACTGCCCTGCACTAAAAGATTTCATCCATCAATTCATGTGCCATAGATCTCATGTGCATTATACATTTAAAGGGGTGCTAAATCACTTTTGTATGTGAGGCTTGTTAAAACTACTGACAAAAATGTGGTAATTTTTTCTTTGTTTTTATTTTATTCTTATACAAATAATTTCATTGTTTTGCTATTAGCTATTTGCTATATATTGCGATTAACTAGTAAGGAATTCCTTGAAGGAATTGTTGATTATTTATTTATTAGAGGAGGAAATTCCTTGTCACATATATGTAGTTCAATAGAGGATTCTTATCTACCATTTAGATATAGCAGAGTAGATATACATGAGAGCCTCACACAGACCAACATAGTCCAAGTCCCCTCTGATAACGAGCGAGGGAAGGGAAGGTGGTAAATTAAATTATGATCTCAAACAATTTTGCAGTTGAGTTACTGTCACACTTTTTTTTTTCCTTCAGATGGATTATATTTTGTTACATGATTATCTTTGGTGGTTTGAAAATTAGGTACCCCAACTCTAACACTACATTATGGTTATTTTGCACACATAGAATAGTTAGGTCATATAAGTACCAAGCGTGTTGAACTTGTCTGAGATGATGAGTTTGTCTTGCTTGCACTGGCCCACCTCTCCTGTGATGGCCATGTCTGTAATCTGCAGTTTTACCAGGAAACTTTTGGGCACTGTGATACTCCACTGACAGCTCAGATGTGCCGGATATGCATTTGGAAACCCTAGGGAGTGTATGACCCCTTTTCTCCCAGTGATCACGGCAGGACCACCACAACCTGCAAACAGAATAACCTAGAGCATTAGTCATGTCATTATTCTCTCACACTGCATGGAACTAATGGTCTGGGATTGTGTTACTGTGATATTAGCACAACAGCTGCAAATGCAAATATGTTTAATCTAATGCCAAATAGAGCAATCTCAGGAGGGAACCCCTGGAAAGACAGAAAGCTGTTTCCAAATTCGAGTACATTTCTCTGCTAATTTAGCACACAAAAAGGCAATACACCTTAAACTAGGGTGTCGTCTGATATATATGTACCATAATACATCTTCTTACCAGAGGTGGTAGGCTTTGTTGTGGCAGTGGAAGCAGTGGAAGCAGTGTGGGCAGTCGTGCTGCTGCTCGTGCTTGGTTTGGCAGTAGTAGTTGGGATGACAGGAGGAGGAAGTCTTGACTTAGTGAAAGTGGCTGTAAACCCTTTGGAGCTCAACGTGCTGTCGGATTTGAAGCGGACCACCATTGTGTTACTCATCACAGTCTGCACCGGTTTGGGCAATGTGCCGCCACAGAATTTACCTGGAAAACAAACATTGAACAGGTTTTTATTGTTTTCATTTACACATCATCATCATCGTCTATATTTTGGGAACATGATGGCCATGAAGGGAATGTTACTTTTCAAACTGTGAAGAGTGAGTAAAACTTGGTTTGAGTCCCACCCGGGCTCACCGCTGCATTCAAACCTTTGAGGCTCCTCGTGATCGGTTTAATTATCATCTTCCAAATCCTACTGGTTGTAGACATGAATACATTCTTTTAAAAATAAAATACAATTCAAGTTGCGGACATCATCTTTAATGAGAGCCTTATTGAGGTATTCAGATCCTAAATGTGACATGCATAATGAAAACACTTCTGGGGGTCGAAGTGCAAAATTATATTCTGCTATATTTTTATAACATCACCATTATGTTCTACAGTTTAATAATAATAATAATACATTTTATTTATAATGCACTCTACATTTCAATGAAATCTCAGAGTGCTACAGAACAGGGAACATCCCCATGATATTTAACATTAAAAATTACAAGAGTTTTACAAGTTTCTCTTTGCAAGTTTTAGATGGGAGTAGGAAAAGACGTGTTTGTGATCTCGCTTTTGGTGTTTTAGTTCCCCTGAGTATTGTAAGATGGTTGATCTAAAAATTATATATAAATATTGCCTCTCTTATAAATATATTGTGCATACAACTGAGGGATTTTATATTTTTATCTTTCTTTTTAATGTTCTGTGATAATTTATTATTTTAATGCTTTCTTGTTTTGTTCAGCACTTTGAATTGCCTTGTGTATGAATTGTGCTATATAATTAAACTTGCCTTGCCTTGCCTATGACCTGAAACTTCACATAATGGCACATGCTACTACACTGATTTTGCTTAAATAACAACTTGATAGAAAACTAATTGTGAGCCAACACTGAGGACATACCCAGTATAGAGGAGCCTGTACCATCTCCATCATAGACCTGAACAAAGTCTCCACACACTTCCGGGACCAGGTCAAAGGACATAAACGTGAGCCGTACTCTTTCTCCCTCTGGCACTGTGATCTTCCACTGTCAAAACAGAACAAGTCATCATTATAGATGTTTTATTATCATTAAAACAAATAGCGGCTGCGGCTTTTGCATCTTTCTCGAGTCATCTGGGCTCAAACAAGTGGTGCATTTTGCTTGAATTCATAAAAGAACACCTTCCTCACTGTTTGGTGTCAGGATGAGTGCAGCAAGATGAGTATCTCGCTGAGTGATAATGACGCTATATTTAGAACAATCACACTGTAAGCCTCTGACATGACTGGTCAAAAGGTGGAGAAATTCACCAAAATATATTAGAAAAGACTCTCTCACATTCTATATTTGTTCTATTAATATTGTAGAACAGCCAATTATTATATTATTGTTGTAGCCTACCTGATAGAGCGCATCATGTGGGTAGTTCTGCCCTGGAGAGCCTGGGGTCTGCAGATTCCCCTGGTCACCTTGGAGAAAACCGCCCGCTCCGGCTATTTCTGTTGCAGAGATGGAGGGCACTTCAGCATCACAGAGCACCTCAAGGTTTTACATGTTATGACCTTCTTACCTGGCGTCGATCCGGGGGCCACAGCCGCGTAATGAGCCTTGAATCCTTGGTCCGTCTTTCTTTCATTGGTGTCAAAGTAGACAGTCAGGCGATTTGTCAGAGAAACAATTGGCCGTGGTTTGGAGTATCCGCAGTATTTACCTTCATAAAACCCATATCTCAATAAAAAATGCATACAAGTTGTTTTAAGATGGAACGGTTTCATTGAGAATCGTGATGAATGATGCTGGAGCAGTGACAAGTACAATGAAAATGGGTACAATGTAAGGGCCATTCAATTTTATTTTGGGAGTTACATTGCCTGTTTGCTTTTTGTTATGAATGCTATTGTGTTTTGATTATTGAGATTTATTTCTCCATAAGTCTTGAAGGTGTTATGGTTTAATCCAAAATGTATTTCATTGACGGCCACAGATTGATAGTGGTAGAAGCTGTCAATCATACAAAAAAGTAAATAATCTTTACTTATAAAGCACAGTGCTTGCCATGCCCCTTTTTGACATGGCAAAAAATAATCCATGTTGACTTTACATGACATGGATTATAAGTAAGTAAGGTTTATTTATATACCACCTTTGTGTGAGGCCTGTGGACCCTCTTCTTGTGCGTTGGGTCACGGATTATTTAACCGACAGGCCCCAGTACGTGCGAGGGGGGGGCTGTAGGTCCTCAACAGTGACCTGTAGCACGGGTGCACCGCAGGGCACTGTGCTCTCGCCCCTCTTCTTCACCCTCTATACGACTGACTTCTGCTACAACTCTGAGACATGCCACATGCAGAAGTTCTCAGATGACATTGCAATCGTGGCATGCGTCAGGGGGGGTGATGAGGGGGAGTATAGAGGCTTGGTTGAGAACTTTGTGGAGTGGAGCCAGCAGAACAAGCTTCTTTTAAACTCAGCCAAAACTAAGGAGGTGGTGCTGGACTTTCGCCGGGCACCACCCTCTCTGCAGCCCATTATTATCGAGGGGACTGCTGTGGAAGTGGTTTCCACCTATAAGTACCTGGGGCTGCAGCTGGACAACAAGCTGAGCTGGGCAGCCAACATGGACGCTGTGTGAAGGGGCAGAGTAGGATGTACTTTTTGAGGCGATTGGCATCTTTCAGGGTCTGTGATAAGCTTCTCTACATGTTTTATCAGTCTGTTGTGTCTAGTGTCCTTTTCTATGTAGTTGTCTGTTGGGGGGGCAGTGCACGAAAGAGGGACACTGAGAGGCTGAACCGGCTCATTAGAAAGGCGGGCTCTGTGGTGGGTCTGGGTCTGGATTCAGTGGAGGAGGTGGTAGAGCAAAGAACGCTCTCCAAGATCAGGGTGATCTTGTCCAACCAGAGCCACCCACTGAATTCATTTTTTTCCCGCCAGAGAAGCACCATGAGCTCCAGACTCCTGTCTCTGAGGTGCTCCAGGGACAGACTAAAAAACTCTTTTGTCCCCAACGCCATCAGGCTCTATAACAAAGCCACTTCAGGGAGGAGCAGGGGGGGGGGGGGGGGCCTTAACTTCTCTTTTAATGTTTTTAATGTATTTATTGTCTCGTTTTTAACTTTTGCATCTTATAATTCTTACCTATGTATGTATTGTTGTATGATTGCGAGCAAGGGACGAGTGCACAATTTCCTTCGGGATCAATAAAGTATATATCTATCTATCTATCTTTCACAAAGCAGAGTCACAAAGCGGTTTACGATTATTATTTTTTGGGCATTTGTCCTCACTCCACACAGAGATGGGAGCGGGGTCGCCAGTACAGGAGGCCCATGCACTGTCAGGCTATTACTAATAGTCATAGCTGAGTGGCTTTACCAATAATTCCCAGAGAATCTCGCAGTGTCACAGAATCTCCTGTACACAGCTGCGTTTCTTCCAGTGCAAACTCCTCAAACCACAGATGGATCACCTGTAACAACATAAACTGAATAAGAGGAAAGCAGAAAGCAATGCATCGGCAATAGAGCCAGAAGATGTGAGTTTCTCCTCAGGGTGAAGTGATGAGAGCAGAGGATAATGAAAGAGACAAGGCCGCCATCTGTCCTGAATGTGGTCTCACGCTGCCTGGCCTCACATAAGACACTTGAGATTTTTTTGTAGGCCAGACATGGAAATCACTAATGCATGAGCTTGGGGGGGACTTGGTGGACAGGAGTCTTTACAGTATTGTGTAGCCTTGTTTATGGATTTGAGAAAGGCTTTTGACTTAGCAGTCCCTCAAATTGTAAAAACTGAAGGGAGAAGTGAACAATGTGGAGGGTGATTGAAGTGTGGCAGCATTGATACGTGATGGATTTATGATTCTAGCAGACACATATGTGTACAAACAGTGCATGCACATGGCTCGTGTAAAGCCTTGTCAAAGATGTTGCGTTGGATTTGTTGGGGAATTGAGCTGTTGTTGAAGGAAACGTTCTCACATAAACAGTGAAGCTGGCGGCTGATACACACGGATAAAAGAAGGAAGGAGTGAGGGAGAGCGAAAACCCACACGTGTTTGTGCCTTGAAGTGAAAATCTGATCGAGCCTATTGTGCCAGTCACGATCTCATATTTTTTCTGAACAGCCAATCATAATCGATTCTTTTTTTTTTTTAATAAAAAATAAATGTGTGTCACAAGGATTCTGGGCCCCCAGCTTCATTATATTTATTATTAAAATCGGTTTCCATAAAAAAGAAAATATGCAGTGTTGAATTGAAGTGCACCCTCTGCAGAGCAGACCGTGCGCAAACGTTGTAATGGATGTTCAGCAAGAAGGGCCTGGTCAGAACAGACTTTGCATGTTCTCTGTTCTGTGTCTGCTCTGGTTTCCTCTGGGTACTCCGGGTTTTGCTACCACTATGATGGAATTGAAACCCATCTCTGTATTTTTTGAAAGCATAAGTTGGCCTTGGCAACATATTAGGAGTATGCATGTATGATAATAACAGATTAATGGTGGAAACACATTGAGGCTGATCATGAGTGCAAAAATCTCTGTTCTTACAAAAGAACCACTGTTACTGTCGTTGAAAAGCAGGGGCTGATGCGTGTGTATTTGTCACCTTGTCAGGCTCCACAGTGATGTGCCAGGTGCAGCTCTTGCCATTATCGTAGCTGTTGGGGTAGTTCCAGCTGGTGAAGGTGCCAGATTCCGTAGACAGCTCCTGGGTGCCTCCGCAACCTGAGGGAAGGGCTGCCAACAGATATGTCTCATTATGATTATTAAAACACACCAAACAGGCTCACTTCAACCTATAACCTTTTTTGTATTTATTGTTCATTAATTGTAATGACTCGTGATGCTTTAAGGATCTGATACGCATCGACAGGAAGAGTCGCCTGGCGCAGAAATAATAATTCCCTTCTTAAATTAGGTGAGAAAATGGCAGTGGGAGTGAGGAGATGTTAACAAGCAGTCAGTCCTATTTCACACCAAACATTTTCACTTCTACTACGATATAACAAAGAGGCTTTCTTAATGAAATGTGAAATTGCCCTGAAGAAAAAGACACACATGAATAAGTGAAAGGTGATGCAGAAATGGCTACAGGTCCAATGTGTGTTGATTTTATGACTCTTACAGTGCTCGTGCTAGTGCTGTGGATGGGAATTGCAACTATTAACAATGTTAAAAAGCTGACCTTATACGTGTAATATTAATTCTTATTCATAAAACAGCTCAAAAACATTACATTGATTATCTTTAATGTGGTAATGAAATAGATTTATATATTAATAAAAAATAAAAAATTGGACCATGCAATTGTACTTTTATTTGTTTTTCCACAATAATGTATTTAAAATAGTCCCTCTCCTTGGAAAACCTGCGACCATTAAGAATTGCTGGAGAATTGTTTAACCAATGAGCGGCAAGTGTTAAAAATGTTTCACTCTCTTTGCTATTTGAAAAGTAACAGATTTAAGACCATGTACACACATTGGTACAAGGTTATTGTTATCTTATCTTATCTTACACATTGGCACAGGGGTATTATCTTATCTTAAACAAATATCTATCCCTAAGATCACATCCACTCAAAACAACACTCGGTGTGTAACAGTATACAAGAAAGTGGTACGGTTTTGATGATTATCAATCAAATGCCCCCCACACTGACCGCACTTCTCTGAAGGCTTTCAAAGAAGTCCTGCTCCCTATATTTTTTATCAACATATGACTGACGACATGAGAGCTACGCAGGGGAAAAGGGCTGATTGTCGTGGATTTAGCGATTGGAGGTAAATCATTAGGAAGAAGTGAAACTCTGGAGAGTTCCCGCGGCCCTTGGGCGCTCCCTCTGCTCCCATTACAGCAGTGTTTATGTCACAGAGCAGAGATGTGCTTATATTTACTGCAAGTTCAGAAAACATTTTGACATATAGACATGGTCTAAACTATCTAAAAAGATTGTGCAGTTGCTAATGGGAGGCCATTTTTTAAAGACATTGAAATGAGATTTTTAGAAGCTGGTGCGTTTTAGGTACATTAAAAATGGATGTCCTGCTAGGTGGTAATTCTGTTGAAGTTAATCTATTCCATTGTAGATTTGTTTTGACCTTTGAAACTACTATCACGCTCAGGAACATGAACAGAACCTGATGACCCAATAGTTAATTATATAACTCTCTATTGCAATTTGTACCAAGTTGTCATCAGAAGAACATTTAACAATTATTATCAATTGTCGGCTTTGCAACCACTGTGGCATATGAAGAGCTGTGTTGTAAACAGCTTCACTTGTGTTACAGTTATAACACAATAATACAAACTTACAATCTCCAGTAGTGGGTCTATCAGTCAAGTAGACCGCAACCAGGCCGATGCAGGCACAGGTCATCCCAATGAAGAGGAATATGAGGCATTTCTCCAGTGTGGTCGTGCTCTTCCCCATGGCTCCACACGGCTACTGTTGTTCCATTCACGCCGTCTTACTGACGATGCCACTGGACTTTGAGAGCCCTGCCCCTGGATTTCCATCTGTGTGGTGCAAGCAATGGGCAATAAAGCACTGAGGGAGATAGATAATGTGATTAGCGACTAGCAGATGATAAATAGTGCATGGGTTAGGGTTATAATGATTTGATGAGCTCTACACTGGTTTGTAACAAGAAAAAATAATTACTAAAGACTTCTAAAGTATTATGAGTTAATGGAACCCTCATTGCAAATACAGCAGCAGGTAATAAGCTCGTTCGTAACAATCAATGGGACCTTTAAAAACTGCGTTTAAAGGTCCCATATTATGCCTTTCGACTTTTCTCTCCTTTAAATCATTACAGTGCTATTTGGTCTTCATACACATGCCCAAAGTATTTTGTTTTTTCATTGATTCCCTCAAGCTTTAGTTAGAGCGATCTTTCTATTTCATTCTCAAGAGGCAGCAAAACATGATGTCGCAGAAATGTATGAGGTGAAAAACCCACCTCCAGGAGGCGATCGTCAGGGGGAGAAATCGAATCAGCGCATGCAGCCTCACTACTGAGTCGAGCATGGTCCCTGGTCAACCACATCGGGCCTTGCTGTTTTACTGCTATTGTCGTCGACTAACATTGTTAAGCATCATGTCAGAACATGTGCTTTCTATTCTGATCTGCCTCAAATATCCACAACAAATCTGTTCATCTGCAAGTGACACTTCACCAAAGACTGTTCCAGGACTATGGTTACCACAAAATTGGGCCCACTCAAAAGCTGATTTGAAACCTGGTTTTATTCCCACAATAAAAGACGCTAATGATGAGCCTAGATCTGTAAGTACAATGCAACTAACTTGCAGAGTCGGCTTATATCACTATGTAATTAGGGTCTGATTCTGGACATAGGGCTCTATGTGACGGATTGCCATTGTTGGAAAAAATTTGTTCTCAGGTCTAAAATGACTACCAGCCTTAGTTGAACAGTTAGCTTTGGATGTAAACAAGGCAACGTAAGGCTACATTACTGGGGGGGTGGGTGAAGGAGGGCTCAATTGAGTTGATATCACCTCTATGCAAGAAATGGCTATAATCTCAAAAGTTTTAAGTGTTTCATGATGTACCTCTCAAAATATTATCCCACAAGTGCATAGTATTGACTGTGAAAATATAGGACCTTTTAACATTCAGTGTTATTTAAGGATGTAAAAAGCAATTAGTTAGATTACCCATCACTTATAAAAGAAGCACAGAGGAAAATTTCAGTCATTGTTTCAATGGGAAATTCTTGTGCTCCAACTTGAAAAGGGATTCTAGTACTTACACAGATGGTCAGAGCTCCTGCCCCCATTCTTTTAGTGAAGAAAAGCAGCAGAGATGTTGTTAAAGTCCTCCTCCTGCCCTTGTTTCCCCTCCTATTCCTCTTCAGAAGTCTTCAGCCCAAAATCTCATTCAAATGCTCCACAGATTCTCCATGACAGAACCGGAGAAGGAAGCATCATCGGCAGTGGGCTGCAGAGTTGCCGGGTGGGCTTTATTGCTGGTCTCTTTTTCTTCTCTCCCCCCTCTTCTCTCTCTCTTCCTCCTATGCTGAAATCAGCCAGGAACTCGGATTGGCCAAAGGAGGGCTAAACTTAATCATTTGTTTCCTGCAGGATCTGACTGTGCATAACGGAGGAAATAGTTGAAGGAAAAGGTTATATAGTAGTATTATAAAAGAACAAGAAAATCTCAGCTGCTAAGGAGAGACCTCGAGGAATAAGTGCTCTTGTGGGGAAGCTACTGTATATAGTCATTGTATTCTTGGTTAAGACGCTTCATCCAACTTGCAAACCATAATCAAACCCTTGATTTCTGACAAAATTAAATCATCAAATGAAACCACCAAGAGATGGTTTGCAGTTGTTTTATCCAAAAGACAGATCAAATGCCTGTCATTGTAAAAGGGCCGTGATTGATTCCTCTAATCTGTGCGGATTTAGAATCATAACTGCCCTGAATTTTTAATCCCCGTTTTGCAAAACACACGTTTTATATACTTTTTGTACATACAACCCTTATTTATGTTTTTTTTTTTTTTTTGTAGGGTTCTTGATTTCTGCCTTTTGAAATGAATCTAATTTCTTTTGACTGCATTTTGACTGTTATTAAGCATGGAAGAACGTGTTAGTATAGTTCACAAAAGAGAACCATGCAAAAGTTGGTTCAGTTTAGGCAGGGGAAATATTGGAAAACAAAATATTCTGTGAAATAATTTTACACATCAATAAGATATCCTTTTGTGCAGAAACTAAAAAAAGCTGATCACCTGCATAGAAACCTGCCAGGGCCACAAATGCTCACTGCTTCCACTCCGTTGACAACCCACAGAGTGGCATTGCTCGGTTTGATTGCAGGATGCCCACAATCTCTAGGATGAGAGATTTAAAGATAAGAAATAATATATCCTTTTTTTTCATTTTAGATGTATTATTTATACATGTTATGCAGGGGCAAATCCACAGAAGCGACCTGCGTAATGAGAAGCAAAGCCCCTTTGTAGCAGGGAAACAACCACTGACCTTAACAGAACATGCATTCAGCTGTAGTACCAAAACTGACCAAGAGATGTCATTGTTGCTCCATTGAAAATCTCCACATAGTCCACACAGTTGCCAAGCACGTTCACAGCTTGCAATTCAAAGTGCATGAATGCCACATGGAATCTTGTAGCGCTGGGGTTTTTGACAGTCCATGTGCAAACAGACTGGCCTGCATAGTCATTGGGCCAGTTCGGAGACTTTAGTTCTCCCTGTTCAGAGCTGAAGCTGCCTCCACATGGTGCTGTTAAGAGACGGAAAAACATGAATTGGATTTTTAGGTAGCATATTTTGTATGCCCATTAGGCATTTTGACCGCATGTATCTGCAATCTTGTCCTTTCGGTCCCTACCCAAAACTCATGACCATAGATGAGGCTGGAAACGTAGATTGACCGTTAAAATGAGCTTTGTCTTTGGACTCAGTTTCCTTATCAGTCCCATACAGAGACCATTATCGTCATATTTATCATTTTATATCTCTTTATAATTGCATGAAGAGTAAGTCAAACAAGATACACTACATCTCCAATAGGCTCCATTGACAGATGATCACCTGCTTGGCTTGAATTACAAAAATGTATTACGTTTATCTATTAAAATTCGCGGACAATGGGCCTCATTCACCAATATCTTCTTTAGAATCTTAAAAAAATTCTTAAGTCGTTCTCAAGAAGATTTCTTAAGAAGAGACCAGCGCGGACCCGAGGAGAGACCATTGACTGGAGAGACCAACAGTTAAGGCACAGAAAAAACACATATGTATTGGTCCATATATAAACTCTAAAACCAACTCTAGAATTGTGTTAAACATTTTATTTTATAATTGTAGGATAAATAATAATATTACTCTCACTTTTCTTTCAGCCTAATTACAGCAGTATAATTCTAAAAAAAGGTTACCTAGACTTCCCAGTTGGTCTGTGATGCTGACTTTGTCGCTCAAGCACCCTTCGCTCTCCTCCAGGGAGAAGTTGTGGAAGTGGAGATGGACCAATTTGCCATCAGGCACCCTGATGTTCCACTGGCAGTCTGCTTTGTTGCTGTAGCTGCCAGGGAATCCCATAGAGGAGAGCGAGCCTGTGTCTCTCAGGTCCTTCGGCCCTCCACAGCCAGATACTTCACAGAAAACACAGAAGGTGAGTAAACAGTGACAAAAATTGGAATGCTAAAGCTCCTCTGTCATCATACTTTTCTCATTGTAAATGTCCCGCCGCATTACATTCTCGATCCTAGGAATGTAGGCCGAGGTGCGAGTAAAAACAGAGGGCTTTTTGTCCATAATGCATCCGATGGGACCAAAACTAGTGATGCCATGAACTTCCCAGTCACTTCTTGGCACACTGGTGCTGCTCCCTGGACTCTGTGGAGGAGGCGAGGGACAGGAGGGTGCTAGTCAAAGTCAAGTCGCAGGGTCTTTATTCGTCAGACTGTACAAAAGGTCACTTTAAGTCACTTGCGCTAGGACAAAAAAAAAAAAGCACTACTATTGCCACATTTTATTGTACATAATATATCCTGCATTTAACATGTTTGCACACTTCTTTCTTTGCACAAATCTTGAGTGTTTCTATCCATGCCAGATGTGACATGTAAATTTCTCCAGTGTGAGATCAATAAAGTCTATCTTATCTTATCTAATCTTGGTGGACCACCTGAATCTCCCTGAAATTTCTTTCTGTCTTTGTAGTTTTTAGAAGGGTGGTTATGAAAGAATAAGAAGTGTCCCACAAAATAAACACATACAGCATCTACTTTTTCTATCCTGCACGGGCCGCACCGCCCAGTGGTGTCGCCACCTATTTCTCTGTCTATGAACGCAACTGTATTTGAAAATTTACATGTACCAATAATTTAGGATTTATGTTAATTTACAAAAAAATATAGGTTAGAGAAAAACAGAAAAACGTGAAAAAATAATAAAATAATGTGAACACTCAAATAATAAATGATAAATAATAATAAGTTCTAAAAAGACCAACCCACCTCAAAACAACACAAGTCTTTTGCTTGCAATATTATTCGGCCCCTTTACTTTCAGTGCAACAAACTCAGTCCAGAAGTTCAGTGAGGATCTTTGAATGATCCAATGTTGTCCTAAATGAGAATGCACCTGTGTGTAATCAAGTCTCCGTATAAATGCACCTGCTCTTTGATAGTCTCAGGGTTCTGTTTAAAGCACAGAGAGAACCATGAAGACAAAGGAACACACCAGGCAGGTCCGAGATACAGTTGTGGAGAAGTTTAAAGACGGATTTGGATACAAAAAGATTTCAGAAGCTTTATACATCTCAAGGAGCACTGTGCAAGCAGTTATATTGAAATGGAAGGAGTATCAGACCACTGCAAATCTACCAAGACCCGGCCGTCCCTCCAAACTTTCATCTCAAACAAGGAGAAGACTGATCAGAGATGCACCCAAGAGGCCCATGATCACTCTGGATGAACTGCAGGTAACTACAGCTGAGGTGGGAGAGTCTGTCCATAGGACAACAATCAGTCGTGCACTGCACAAATCTGGCCTTTATGGAAGAGTGGCAAGAAGAAAGCCATTTCTCAAAGATATCCATAAAAGTCTCGTTTAAAGTTTGCCACAAGCCACCTGGGAGACACACCAAACATGTGGAAAATCGAACTTTTTGGCCACAATGCAAAACGATATGTTTGGCGTAAAAGCAACACAGCTCATCACCCTGAACACACCATCCCCACTGTCAAACATGGTGGTGGCAGCATCATGCTTTGGATCTGCTTTTCTTCAGCAGGGACAGGGAAGATGGCTAAAATTGATGGGAAAATGGATGGAGCCAAATACAGGACCATTCTGGAAGAAAACCTGTTGGAGTCAGCAAAAGACCTGAGACTGGGACGGAGATTTATCTTCCAACAGGACAATGATCCAAAACATAAAGCCAAATCTACAATGGAATGGTTCACAAATAGACGTATCCAGGTGTTAGAATGGCCCAGTCAAAGTCCAGACCTGAATCCAATCGAGAATCTGTGGAAAGAGCTGAAGACTGCTGTTCACAAACACTCTCCATCCAACCTCACTGAGCTCAAGCTATTTTGCAAGGAAGAATGGGCAAGAATTCCAGTCTCTCGATGTGCAAAACTGATAGAGACACACCCCAAGCGACTTGCAGCTGTAATTGCAGCAAAAGGTGGCGCTACAAAGTATTAGCGCATGGGGGCTGAATAATATTGCATGCCCCATTTTTCAGTTTTTTATTTGTTAAAAGTTTAAATTATCCAATAAATTTCGTTCCACTTCACGATTGTGTCCCACATGTTGTTGATTATTGGCAAAAAATGTAATTTTTATATCTTTATGTTTGAAGCCTGAAATGTTGAAAGGTTCAAGGGTGCCGAATACTTTCGCAAGGCACTGTATACATACACATACACATTACACGCACATATACATCTATACACATATACACACATAAATCCTTATACATGCATATACATACAATAATATTTTTAAAAAGGGCACAGGCTTATGTAAATGCTGAAGTGAATAGCCATGTTTTAATGCCTGATTTAACTGCTCCTATAGTTGAAATAGTTCGTAGTTCATGTGGAAGAGTGTTCCACTGATGAGGAGCATAAAAACTAAATGCTGCTTCGCTCTTTTTGGTCCTGACATTTGGGGCACATAGTAAACCTGTCCCAGATGACATTAGGACCCTCTCGTTTTCATGTGGAACAAACATATCTTGCACATATTTTGGGGCAAGTCCATTCAGTGCCTTGACCACCAAGAGAAGCACTTGGTGAACCTCCTCTACTGAACGCAAGCAGGCAAAGGAAATCTCATTTGTTGGCACGGCCGGATACTTGAAGCCTTCATGGCGGTAGATGCCAGTCATGTTGAAGCAGTCCTCCGTGGACTCTGTGAAGTTCAGCTTGTGTTTGCCAGGCTTATGCGCCAGTGATGAAGCCCGTTGGCATAGCTGTGACAGGGCAGGGTATTTGATATAGTTTGATTAATAGAGTGCTTACCTAAATTGCTCCCTATTACGGTGATTGGGCAAACAAAGTATTTACCATCTTCCACGACAATCTACAGTGCAGGACATCACACTTTTCATGCAGTGATCCACACTGCAATATGCCCTAAATGCAATTAAATAGCATTGTTTAAATTAACTGTTTCTGAATTGTGTATATGTAGTTTGTATGATCGTATGTGCATGAAAGAAGATATACTGTGTGTGTTTGTGAGCCATGTTTATGACAAATTTCAGTTTTTTTCTTGGAACAAGCAAATATTCGTAATGGGAATAGCTGATTTTTCATGTAGATATTCGCCCACATTGAATAGTGTGCTAAATCTACTCACTTAATAAAGCAGTGGGCAGGTGTTAGCACCCATGTTGTGTGGATGCGTGTGCCTCCACAGATGTGCACATACGTGGGTCGAGATTTTGGCAAAACCTTAAAACAGAAAGTTACATAACTAACCTGTTTGTAAAGCTGATGTAATTTGATGAAAGTCCTCTCACATGCATGGAGACTTGCCAGGGCCATGAGGAGTGCTTGGCTGGCTCCTCGTTCACATTGCCATAATGTGATAATGGTTGGAAGGATCACAGGTCTTTCACAACTTGGTCAGTCTAGGAAAACAGAACTTACTAATTATCACGCCACTTTCCTTTCTTTTTTCACCTCACACAAAAGAATGACATCTATTTTGTCTCTTATTATCTTGTTAGCAGCAGTCAGAGCTTTGTGGTTAATTGGAGCTTTTGCAACATTTAGATTTTTACAAACCTGCAGATTAGTTCATTGAGCTGTGTTATATTTGTAGGTTTTTCCTATGGCCTTAATATTAGCTTGAGTATGTCACATTATAAACAGCCAATCTCTGCTTTCGCGGACAGAATCCCTTTGAGCCAGAGTTGGTTTATAACATTGTCCTCAGTGACTCTTGGCTCTGCCCTTCGCCACCTGAGGCTCATCACTGAGCGAGGAATCAGACTGTGTGACAGACAGCGAGCACCCGCCACTTCACGTTACTGATGCACAAGGAGATGTGTTTGGAGGTGTGAACATGGACGCAGATAGACATGAACATACGGCAGATTCAAGGCAAAGTTATGCAACCAAAAATGTTAATTTTGATTAATTCGTTCATTTATTAGTCCATTTGTCCATTTTACTTTTATTTCAATAGAAACATGCATTTGACTCCAGAAATGTAAGTAACTATAATAAATCACTAATTGAAATCTAAAATATGATGGTGTGTCATGAATAGAATTTGGTTTTAATCCCACTGAGATTATTGTTTGGATGTTTGGATCAAAATTGAAAAGTAATTTAGCTGAAACTATAACAGGAGACATCTTAGTGCTTGATGTTTAGAGGGAAACAACCTATTTCTGTGACATTGTGACAAAGCAACTTTCAACAACTATTTTTGGAAACCTGCACATAACCTACATAATCCCAGTGTCCTTTGCTGCGGTCACATTTGCCTTGATAATGTGAAGAATTCAGCCGGTGACTGCATCCTTGTCCTGTGTGCCTAAAATACATCAGCCCAACATTATCATTGCAAATAATGAGCATTCTCATTAGTGGAGTGTTCTACATCACTTGTAAAGCACTTAGTTTGCAACGTGTTTATTTATCTCGCTGGCTGAAAGCTTCAGATAATCAAAATGTTCCACTTGTAATTAGTAAGAAAATCATGAATAAATCAGAATAATAATGAATAATTGTTTATTCTTTTCAGAGCATTAGTGGCTCATATTAGTAACAAATGAAGCCAACTGTACCGAGCGGGATTCCGTCCCAAGGGTTTGATGGTGCAGGTGGCTCTGTGGGAGGACGACTGCTGGGATTTGTAGTCCAATAAGCCCTGAACCCTTTAGCTTCAGTGAACAGGTCTGAATGGAAGCGTATGACAAATCTATTTCCTTTAGTCTGGATTGGCACAGGCATCTTAGTCCCACAGATTAAATCATATTGAATTTGGGAAAACTGATCTTACCAAATTTCTTTCCTTTTAATTAGTGCGTTGACATCGTAAATCATCATATTGTCATAGCACTTGGAAGTAAATATGTCCTTTGCTTCAAGATCATAGTGGGTGAAGTTGAAAAGAATTAATGTTCCACATGTATTCAGAATTTTCCTTTTAGTTCATTTGCTAAAATCTGCAGATTTGCTTACTCCATTTTCTATTTTTATAAAGCACAAAATATCTATCTTTTATACTGTATTGGGTTATAGAGTAAATCACCATTCATACCCTTGTGTTTGTGGGAAATT